TTATATCATTATTAATTATTTATTTATTAGGTTAATTAATTAATTATTTATTAGGTTCCCCTGGCCACATTTTCAGGCTCGAAACAGGAACTTGATTGGTATCCTTGTTATTGCCAGATTGTGTTTGTGAGAAAATTTCACAACTGAATTTAATTCGATAGGGCTTTACATATGCTCAGCCATTAAATGACCATAGCCATCTCATAGAAGTGGGAACGATTGGCTGTTCCATTGTACATAACAACATTGAAAAATGTGACGAATAGCAACGTTACTGATTGCACAGATCCACTTTACATTTGAGTTCTTTACTGACGTCACACTTTATATGTGCGCTTTCCTACAGTGGTCAGTGGACTTGTTGACTCATTGGGAAAGTGTACATGTAAACAAAGTGTGGCATCATTAGTACATACATGTAGGCCTCTTATAATATCTCACCCACTGTATTTCTTGATTGACCGTGTATGCATCAGTGATATTCACTGTTTAATAATTTTTTCTTCTCCAAAAACACTATACCATGACAACTACCAGAACATGAACATGTATGCTCTGAAGGCACTGTGCACCTTCACTGCAGTAATCATAGTACTGTCCCATAAGCTCAATGCACAGGCATAAATATTGACCACTTTGCCTCAGGAGAATTACATACAGGTACAGGTATATGCACAATAGATCAACTCACAAAGTAAGCTTTACTATGCTACATGTACGTTATAATCAAATGCGTAGTGGGTAATTCCAGAAATGAGGGGTCCAAAAGTGTGACATTTTTGTGTCCCTGTTACATCTGACCTTTGTTATTTGACATGGAAATATCATCAGGATTTATTCAAAGTAGTACTATTTGTTTGGCAGGTAATTTGCATTAATTCATCACTCTTGGAAATTGGAAAGTTTGTTCTGAACTTACAAATTCATATGTCAGATGTAACAGGGACACACAAAAATGGACCCCTAAGTTCTGGAATTACCTGTGTACATCTGTAGAATATTTGACATCTACCGGGTAGCTGTACATTGTACCAAACGGTATTTTCTTATATATCCTGCAAGGGTACCTTCAATGTACCTTCAGTCTCCTGAAGACGGACAGAGTACACTGTTCGAAACGTCGAGTTATTCCCCGGTTCTTCTCAGAACCACACATACTCAAAGAAGAAATAAATACATGGTGTTACCGCAATCTTTACTATAGATCAAGAAAACTTGGAAATTAAATTTCAATGTAAGCATTGGGAAATATGCTGGCTTAGCACAATTTCAATCAAGCATGCCATATTATTTCACTGCGTATAGTAGAAGGCGACAAGCAACGTCAGAAGCTATCACTGCGGTGGCACAGTGCTCATGGACAGGTGGTATGTGTGCGTTTCATCAAAAAAGGTGCTTTATACCAAGCACGCACGAGCAAGTTTAAGCATGCAAGTTTAAGAATGTGCATTATTATGGTGCCACCACAGTTATGGTGTCTCCTTGAATTACCATATGTGCAATTTTCCAGGAAAACAGTTGTAGTGTTATTTTTAAATCTGTCAAGATCAAGAAGTTAATACATGTATATATGTAATTCTGTGTGCATGTACACGCACCGGTATGCCACTGTTTCTATCACACTGATATTTGATCCAAGCAATGATTTGTACTTTATAAGGTTAATGTTTGTGTGGAAAATCTCGGTGTTCTTTTCATCCCATCAGCTAAAATATTTTAAAAAGGTTTCATTGTTAAGTCTATTCACCTGATATAGTGGTACATGTATAAATGTAGCTGACACAAATGTTGAAATTTCCCAGGATCATCATTCCTTTGTTTCTTAAATATGCTATCGTCATCGGGGAACACAAAGCTTTGAATTCCTTTTTTCTCTTTGATGCTAAATTCCCTCAATGGGAAGACTTACTGGTTCATGTAAGCATTTTCCAGCATTCTAGGCCTACATTTATGTCATATCGGACGCAAAAAATGGACCCAAATTTATACATTGCTCCTTATGTCAGTGCATCTAATTTCAGTGAAGAAGATTTTCTTTAGTTTCAGAATGTGTTTCCCATTTCAGGAGTTGGTACCCCTAGTTGCATAAAATTGGAATCAAATATTGATACTGTATTATGCCAGAAGTTGAAGGAGGCTTAGGAAAAAAAAAAGAAAAAGAAAAGTTTACAGCTGTAAGTTTTGAACTTGCACTGTAACAGAAGCTCTGCAATAAAGTAAAAGTTCCCTGTTCATTCGCTTTGCTGTCTGCCTGAACGACGGAAAAGAAAAACAGTATATGAAGACATTGACAAAGCTTTTGCAAGCAATCAACTGTGTTGTCATGAATTCCAACCAGCTTGGTAATCCGATGCCAGCTGCCGCAAAGGCGATTGTGGTTGTCAGGGGCAATGTCCAACACACGATAAATGACACTGTCACAAGTAGGAATGTCCGCACAGCTTTGTTGTTGTGGACAGCATTGTTGATGCCATTTGGATTGGTCTGCCTCTCATGCTTGCGGCTTATTTCGATCATCCGACAGTAAATCAGAACAATGGCCGTAATGGGCAGGAAATCATACACCAACAGATAAACCAAAACATGAACAGTGTCTCCACAAACAAGAAAACAAATCCCAGCATTTTTTATGTAATATTCATTTACATGTTCTTCGCTACCCAGTAACCACAACAATGAAGCGGTTGTTACGCACAGCACAGCTGCAACTACTATGGAATTAACTATTCTGTGCTTGGAGCACCAAAGTGGAAAGCGGTAAGGCCGTGTGGTTGCGATGTACCGCTCAATGTTCAGAAACATAATCAATACTATGGACATGAAGTAGCATGAAGTGATCAGAATGGCGTAGATACTGCAGAACACCTGTCCGTAGGGCCAGCTGTCCAGCCCCAAAGCCACAGTCGCTAGCAGCAACAGCGTCCCGATTGACAAGTCCTGAACAGCCAGCGAAGTCATCAGGACTTTGGTGCTCTCCACCAGATCGGGAATGCGACGCGTCACGGCTATGGATGAAACATTCCCAACAAGTATGGCCGTAGTGGTGAGGCCAGCGAAGCATGTCCGCAGTACGACAGGCCACGAGGAGTCCCGGAGGCTGGTGTGATTCCCTCCGGACATGTCAAGTGTACCATTTTCTGTTGTCATTGCTGTTGAGATTTTCAGTTGTCCAATTTTGCAGCAAGCCCTTTTTGTTAACTTCTTTTCCTGTATAAGCTGGTTTTTGGCCACACCAGATTAAGGTGCAGAATTACGAAAGTGAAGGACTCAGGTACGTACTGCTCACAGACTGCGAGAGAAATCTGGGTGGAGCCTCCAGCTGGACCAAGAGAGGGTGCACTTTTCTTACCAAACGGACGCTCCTTTGGTTGGAACTGAACTTTGCTGGTTCATGAACAATTATGAAATGCACGCATTACGGTCGCATTGCTACCAGCAAAATGAACACTCCTGATTAGTATGACTCTTTTCAACTGAGGAGGTGTTTCTGCTCGAGGCGGATAGGAAGCAAAGTTCTGCTTGCTGATGATGAAAGGACACTGCCCACCTACCCTAACTGTGCTAAATGTACTACTGTACTTTATTTTATAGGGAATGACATTAATTTTTAACCTCATCTTGAGTAAGACCTGCACAGAAGGTCTTCTGTTGATTGATTCCGGTGCGGGTGCAGAGCTTCTTGAAGTGAGATGGATTGTCTTCCTCTGTTGGAGTGCAATGGAGTTTGTTTTCCAAATGGAGAACTGGGCACTAAAAACAAACTTGTTGAGGATTAAGGACTCTGAATGTATGTTATGCCAATGTATCCATCTTCATAGCCTTAATTAAAGTAATCCATTTAGCAGAGTAGGGGGACCCACGTAATGAACCAAACTCAAGTACTGTATCTTATTCAAGAGTCTGTGAAGTGAATGGTGCTCAGAAACATGTTTTGTACAACTTCCAGGGTCTCTTGAATGTACGGTACGAAAAGTCTCTGACATCTCTCACCGATGAATTCAAAGCCTGAATTCAAATGTCAGTCTGTTCAAATAAACTCCTGTGCAAGCACATGTTTGTCACTGTTCACCCTTGTGACTGGTCTTGTAACCAGTCTTGTGATGGTCTCAACTGCAGCACTGGCAAGAATGACGTAGAAATGTTATTGCTGTCCATGTACACTGACCGAATGTTTAAATCTTACCAGTTTTATTGTGTGGATTGTGTTTATCAATCTCTCTACTCTGTGGTGTAGGTCTTTTTTCTCAGTACATCAGGTAGATTCCCTTCATTGTTTTGATTGGGATTTGTACTGCTCTAGATAAATTTGTAGCAGTGGTAAATTTTAGTGTTGAAACTGCGTGTCCGTATGTGGTCATGTACGTGTGCATGTAGCTCACAACCAAAGTGAGGGAAAAACGTGGGTTAGTGAACTCTTGCCTGTCAAACCTTATTCATAAATGCATTTGATAGTTTAGCCATTCCTTTTGGTAGAGATCCCATCACATGGCTCTTGTTAAACGGTTGATACAGCACCAGCTGGCTATGCACCATCCAACATGGTACACATCATCATTACGTCGTGCGCACATAGAATAATGTGTGTTAAAGACATTAGACTGAGAACCAGCGTGTGAACCAACATAACACACTTGAGTGCTCCATTCATTTGCACCACACTTCCCAGTTTAAATGACGTCATGCTCCTGTACTCTGTATACAAGGGGATTATTGTACAAATACTCACAAGAGGAACTTACCAAAACATGGCTTCAGGGGTGTTTGAAAAGAAAGAAAGTAAAACTAGAACATTATCATTGAAAACTTATAGTTTTTAAAACTTATTTTGACTCAATGACTCAAAAAGGCTGTCTCAAGAGAATAGATGCTGATAACATCCTAGCCTTGCACTTGAGCATTATCAGCAGTAGAGATCATTATCTATTCCCTTTTGAAAGTTACTTCCACACAGATCTTCATTTTGTGGAATAAAAAGCTACATTTGGAATGATTTCTTTCAGGTGTTCATATTTTGTGGAGTACCATTTTCCCATCACAGCCTCCCCGCGCGAACAAAGCCTGGTCACCAATATGTCGACCGAAGTCATGAGACTGGTCTCAAAGAAAGTAGACAGCAAAGGAGGTATGAGCATATGGGCTTGCTTCTTGAATATTCACATCTGTTGTACAGTTAACCTTGTGCTTGATTGGTTTAGAGTGCCATTTATGAAAGTGAGAATACCGATGCACATGCACCTATCTCAGCTGATTGGCTCATTGGAAGAGCAAGTTACATATTCTGACAGTGAAGTAACCTTGATTAATAGTGATGCTTTGATAGGAACTGCACCATGTGTCTGTTGTTGGATTCATTTTTCACACAAATTGATGCATATCAGTTCTTGGGCATGAGAAAACTTCTGTTTTTTATTCATGGGGGTCACATCCTTAAGATGCAGCATCCTTAAAATGTACCATACATCCTGTGTAACAGTGTACTGGATCATTAAAAAAGAACCCAGGAAAGTGATCGTGGAAGTTGCATGAAAATGTTAATTACGGTTGTCCATTATGTGAAATAAAGAAACATGAGTGACCGTGTAAAATACAGTTTTTAGACTGAAACAGCTCAGATGTTTCACAATTTGCCCTTTACTGTTTAAAGTGACATGGTCATATATGGCAATAAATCATTTACTGTTGATGGCTTACTTTTCTTTGGTGGCAAGAAATTACATTTGGTCATCGGTCTGTGTTCCCCATTCGCTTTGATGGGACAGCTGTGGACAGCTGGTGGAAGCAACTCCTGGTCTTCAAGATCTTCTCACGCACAGCCGGCCAAAAATCAGTGAGGAATTCACATTTTATTTCTGGCCCCTTAACCCTAACCCTACATAATATTACAAGTTACTACTTGTAGTAAAATGTAGTAATCAGTGCTGCCGCTTGTAAGAGGACATGACCGTATTGTTCTCTGAAGCCATGAAATATAATAGATAAGACAATGTACCATACAGTGCTGTGGCACTATGAACGCATGGCTTTATTGTTCTCTGTATGAGTAACAATGGAAGTAACCTAGCCAGAAGTAGTAATACATAGCATTAGGTCCTTCAGGCTCAGGCTATTTCTTAGTAGTTTGTAGTACTGAGTACTGTAAGCCAAACAATATGCTTGGCGGTTAGGGTTAAACAATAACATTAGCACAAGTAACAACATAAAGACTTTCAGGACCTTGCCGGTAACATAATGAAGTTGCAGCGCTTAGTTGCTACTTTAGGCACCTGTAAATCCATTTGACGTAGAGGTCCACTGATTTTTGTGTTTTAATCATAGGCAGATGTTTATCTAAACTTGTCACTAGTGGATTGAATAAAGAATTTTTGAGTCAATCTAAATTGATTAATATATCATACAATTGTCCTGTTATGAGTTCTTTATTGTTAAAAATGCCGTATTTCTTGAACTAGATTTTTAGATAGATGCTCCCTTTTACTTTTTTTCTGTCCTTTTTAGCCTGTTCTCCTCGGTGTCGCCAGCCTGCCTTTACGATCGGTCTTACAGTCTGCAGACCTTGCTGTGCTCAACTTGGACTTGGATGTTAAGGATAAGATTTACCCTGATCACTCATCCATCTCCGGTCCTGAGTCGAGCACCGCTGAGAGAGCAAAGGACACGGTCATTGGAACACTAAAGGTGTGCCACGCCAAGTCCTGTGTTTGTTTACCCTGTAACTTTAGCGTCGTTGGATAACCAGTCAAAATCTACCGAGCAACAGTAGCAATACTCAGTTGCAATATACAAGAAGTGTGAGAATTGAGAGAAGCGTGAACCCAAAGACCACTCATCAGCAAGAGTAGAAAATTGCAAAAACTGAGAAGTAAATAACTACTCAACAAGAAATGATCACCATATGTTGTCGCTGCAAACTGATCTGATCACTGATTTCTACCATTAAGAGCCTCAAATTACAAATTACAAATTGCTTGTTAACCGAAATCATGTGCATTCAGCTGATAGGAACAGCTTTGATATGTGCTCTTGGAGAGTGTGGTAATCACCAGGTTTGGCACAGTTTGTCGTTGAATTCTACTGTATTTTGCCATGTTTTAGCAAAAACCTTACAAAGTTACCATGGCAACAGTGCAGTTTCTTGCACTTTGCTTATTTGTCATTATGGGCACAAACTCTGGGTGGCATTTGGTACCAATTTTGTTGAATAATTCCTACCCACTTAGGCTAGAAATTCACAATTGTACTTTTTTAATCTACCCGTACAATGTGTGTTAACTTTTACAAAGTAAAATCCATCCATCTTCCCACCAGATGTCCATTGAGCTGGCTTCAGACAGCAAGGATTTCCCTTCAGCGCTGGCCAGAATGAAAGTGGCCGAGATGAGGGGAGCCAAGATCGTCTCCCTCCCGTCCAACCAGCCACACCTCCCCATCAGGATCCCCACTGGATCTGTGGACAGTGATAGCAAGAGCTCATCCCGCAGTGTGCAGACGGATAGCGTGTCAGCCCTGGTGAGAATTAAGGCTAGGGATAATGTTGCCCTGGATGTTATTGGAGCATGATTATTCAGATGGATAAATTTTGTCCCTCGTCATTTCTGCTGGATTTGTTGCAACTGTTTTGGCAGTGATGAAATTATATAAAATGCACAAGAAATCATCCTTTGATGACTATTAAAAAGCATGCATATTACTTTAAACCAAAGTGCCTGTGGAATTTCATGCTGAGTGCAATGTAATTGGCTTTTAATTTCATTTTTCTAATCATGCGTCACTCTTGCTGCTAATAAGGTTCCAGATAAGGAATCTGATGACAAGCATGGACCCGCTACTTCAGCAAGAGGTTGCACAGAGGGAGTACAAACAAGTGAAGGGCACAGCCAAGATCAGCCCAGGAAGAGGCAAATGCGGGGGGAGGGGAACAGGCTACAGGAACAGCCAAGCAAAGAGTGGATGGATGAAACTCTTCAAGTCGACTTGAAGCCACTTGATTCTACAGCAAAAGCAAAGACACAATATGAGGTAGAAATCTGTATTTGCAATTTATTTTGATCTCAGTAATACATTTTATTTCTTGAATAATCAATTGCAAATAAAATTATGCCAAACTGTTACAAGTGCGGAGCTGTAAGTGGTCGTTCTGATGTATTTGTCTCATGGCACTTTTTCAAACAGAAGTCTATTTTGTACTGTTGACAGGCTCATTTGTAATGAAAGTTATTTCTAGAGTTGCAAGGTGGATACCTTGAAATGAAAAAGTTTCAATTTTTTGTTTTGTGACTTTGGTTTTGAAAAGAACTACATGTATACTTCAGCTATTTTCTCTGTCCCCAGTGTTTGTTGCAGGTACAAAAAGTAACATTGAAATTGAAACCCTATGTTAAGGTTTTAAAGTAGACATTCACATAAATAGTTTGGACTTACCACAGCATATTTTATACTTGTATATTGTTTTGTGGTCACACAAAAACAATTAGAACCCTACATTGTAGACTTTTGAGGGTGTTCCCACAGAATATCCTTAATCTCATTGCTAGCATTGGTCCTTACCTGTTTTTACCCTTGAACACAGCTACAGGTTAACTTTGTTTATCGACTCATTTCTGTGCTTCTTGTTTGATTCCTACAGGCCAGGACTTTACACTCTTTACTCTTAATTCCTGAGGGGCAAGCCGTCACAGTCCATGGTGTTGCACCTGTGAGATCAAGCAGCAGTATCCCCCGCACACCTCCTCAACCACATTCAGGTGTGGGAGCAGGGATATCAGGTGCACAATCAATTTCTGCTGTTATTTTGCTTGCGGTGTAAAATGCTGCTTGTAGAGGGCTTCATGCTGGAATAACAACAGAATGTTTAATAAAATCAGAATGGTTATTTCACATGGATTACAAGGTGTGTCTGTTTGGAATTTAGGGCCAGTTTTTCTCACGTGGATCTGGATCTCAATCAGTGATCCCATCACTGGTTCGCTCCATCTTTTAGATAGGTTTTGGTGCTAGTGAACCAACGACTGATCACTGATCGCGATCTGAATTCTCGTGAAACAAACTGGCTCTCAGATGCTTCATTGGGAGTGCATGTGTTTGTAATAAAAATCTGTGGTGCAATTACAAATACCAGGGCTTGGTGGCCGGGACCAGACAACGAGAAACACCTACCTTGTATGCCGCTTGTTCTGGAGTGATGATTCTGTGAGATCTAATGTATGCTGGGGCACTACAGAACCAGATTATAACTTCACGCAGGTATTAACAACAAAATATTGAATATAAGTCTAAGCAGCCTTTACTTATCTCAAGCTCTTAAATAACTTGGGCAAGAATGAGTCACAGTAGGAATTAATTAAATGACTTCCTACGGCACATTGCTCCACTTGGACATTTCTCGGTTGTTTAGGTGTCTCCTGTGCTGCTGACACCATCGTTACTGGAGCGTGCCAGGAACAACTGCATGGTGATTGAGGTTTGGGACAAAAAGACGTCAGCTCAAAATGACCAGGTAAATGAACACGATTTTGTGTAAGTTAAGGGGGCAATAGTTCAAGGCGGCTACAGGGAATGCACCACTTGAACTGAAGAAACTTCTTGTTCAGTGGATTAGGTAAATTATCCTTCATTCTAAGCTTGCTTGATGTGAATGATTTTTTGATTTTTAATGAGACGGAGATTGTAGATTAATTTTTAGGATTTCATCAAATGCCTGTGAAATATTTTCACAAATCTTCTCTTCCCCTGCAGCTTGTTGGTATTGCCAAACTGCCACTGCATCAGTTCTACATGTCCTTCAGAGATGACAGGATCGCTGGTACCCTTCTCAAGTCACAGGTGCACAGACCTCCGTTCATCCCATCAACCCCTCTCATGGGACTTGGAAGCCATAATAAGCTGTCTAAATTTCATGGCTGTGGCTTGAAATTACGCACAAGTCTATTGGAAGCCACTACTGCAAACTGGTGTGTGATTTCAAGCCTCATCCAAGTAATTCAAACATGGCCGTGCTCTTTCTCTGACACCAGCTACTTGCATTGTACCAGTGCATCATGCAGGCGGGAAACTCTTCATTTTTTACAGCATGAGCCATTTTAACATTAGTATTTATTTCTGGTAATAACACCAGGGATTCCTCAAAAGCACCCCAGGCGCCATAGCTCACCAGCCTGAAGAAACCTGTAGAGAGAAGACAGTGAGAAGCAGTCACAATTTTAGAGGTGGGAGAAAAACCCCAGGGGAATATTCTGGGTAAAACCCTTGGAATCAGGTAGGGACTGAAAACCCAATCCACATGTGGACCAAAGAGCTGGGAATCAAACCCGGACCGCAGAGGTGGAAGGCGAGGAAAGAACCACTACACCAACCTGACTCGTCTAAAATGACATTGTGTAAATATTTCTCTTTGTACACAGTACCCAGTTGTAGCAGTTGACAACTACGTCAACATCATAGATCCGTTCACTGGTGTCCAGTACGGCCAGCTGAAGGTACTTCTAGCTTTAGGATCTTCCGAACAGGTTAGTCATGTTTATGTACAAAGTATTGTTGAGTCTGGACAAAATGACGAGGGCTTGCCCAGAATAGAGGATTTTCAATCCCATGACCTTGATGGCCATTATTCAATTTGCAAAGGTGTGTGCAGAAACGCACACACCTTTGAAGTCTCTCAACATTCCAGCGTACATGACATCGCCAGTAGAAATACCCAGATATGAAAATGCACATGCCTCCGGGGACATGGTACGTTTCCTGAAATGCCTTTGCCCCTCATGTTACATCACGTGAAAAACCTCTATATCAGTGTTGCTTGCAGTTGGTTTGCAAAAGTTTTTTGAGAGGTATTTTGTGAAAGCAAAGCACATTTTTGTTTTCATCTCTGGCGATGTAATGGCGTTACTTTTTGTGTGACTGAACTTTTATTCTTTCCTTATTTTAATTTCGGCATTGTACAGCTTTTCACTAATGCTCAAGCAGGCTTGAAAAAAACATAAAACGCCCATTATGTTGTTGTTAAACAATGCTCCCTTTAGATCTCTGCCCTTCAGAGGTTGAAGTGTGACAAGGACGCTATTGATACAAGACCTCTGAGGCCTGGTCATTACCTGGAGAGGTAAACTTACAGAAATATCCACAGGCTTTTTCTATCACAGTTGTTCTTCACTTGTATTTAATCATGAAGTAAGAAAGAGTAATCTGGGCGCAGCGTCTACATTACCAGACAACTGATTTTTATGAAGTTTTATGGGTCTTCTTCAAGAGCACCTCTAAAGAAAACATTTTCTCTTATTGTATCAGTTCAAATAAATATGGAAGCATCCAAATTGAACACAGTGTCATTTGTCTTCAGAGCTCATCTATAACAAGCTAAAAAGGACTTTTTCTGTTAATGCCAAGATGTGAATTCTTAATGTAGATTTTGTCATTCTGAGGAAACGGAGAAAACGAGGGGAACCCTCACCCTGTGTTCATAGTGGATAAACCCTTGTGCTAGCTAAACAATGGCTACAAACAATGGCTACATGCATTGTTTGGCATGCACAAGGGTTTACCCATTACGAACACAGGGCGAGGGTCCCCCTGGTGTTTCTCTGTTTTCTCAGAATGACGCAATCTACATTTAGAATTCATATCTTGGCACGAACAGAAAAAAGCTCATTTAGCTTGTCATATTTGAGCTCTGAAGACAAATGACACTGCATTCGTTTTGGATGCTTCTATATTTATTCGAACAGATAAAATCAGAAAAAAAAACCATTTTCCTCAGAGATGCTCTTTGATAGTAGTCACCCTGTCATTATAAAGTATTTCTGCAAAACAGCCCAACTTATTAAGCTCCTCCTCTCTTTTTGTTTGCAGGGGTGAAGCCGTTACAAAGAACAGGGCGGAAAGAGAATCCTCACAAGATGAGCTGGGTATTTAGATCTCTTTTATTCATAGAAGCTATGCAAACCGTTACCAACCTGAAGACCTTAAGACCGGGCACGTGCCGAAAGATTTCGAGGAGCAGATTTCCCTGCTTATGGAGTTTGGTTTGAAGCCTTGACAGTCCACAAAAACTGCACAGTGGCGCTTGAGAGAGATATTACAGTCAATTTACCACAGGGTCTGCGTTTTTACTCCTATGAGCATTGAAAAATACATGTTGACCTCAGAATGATGTTTGCAATTTCATGATCCTTCTCTGCTCACAGCTTTTAGGCCAAGAGAAATGTTTCATTTCATGCAGGACATTAGGAAAAGAAGTCACCGTGGTTGAAAACCAGTGTACATAAAATATGTTAGATTTTGTATTGAAATCAAGTTATGATTGACTCAGCCTCATTTACCAAATTCTTGCCTGATTTTTCTTCGATAATTAAGCAGTGCCAAGATTTAACATTGCACCTACGTAACAGAACCAGCTTTCTGTTCCTTGGCCATCAGTTGAGCACATCTTTGAGGTCGTGGTGGAAGGCATCCAGTGCTTACCGCAGCTTGAAGACACCGTCTGGGGGGAGGCAGATTGCTTTGTCCGGTATCACTTCCCCTCCCAGTCACCTCCCAGGGGACCCCCTTATGGCACCCTCACTGTGCCAGGTAATAAGGAGAGTTTTATAAGGCTGTCTTGAGTAGGCCTGGCACATCTGTGAGTCAGGGTATTGCTTGAGGTTTTTGATCTCAAAGAGTGAAACCGGGCTTGGGATTTCTAGGGTTTGGGACTGAAAGGATAATAACCACAGTCGCTGTGGAAACAGGGAGTTATTGTGTGTGTTTTGGCCCAGTGAGAGAGATCATTAGTAAATATCTTGCAACGTTGACTGAAATTTACTTTTTCAAATGCAGTTGGCCCAGTCTTGACACCCCATCAGACCCCTACCACCCTCTGCACGCCAGACCCTACATTCCATGATGTGTCCCGGCACAGATTGCAACTGCCAAGAGGAACACCAGTCCAGAGAGAGCTACTGACAGGTAGGCTCAGACATTGCTGAGGATAAACTGAAATTTCCCAATTGCATCCTATGAAAAAAACATTCTTGTTCAAGATTTCTAGGTACCAATTATGTGTTATATGACAGGTAACTAGGGAGACCTGAAATGCGAAACACTCAAAATGTTGAGGCTCTCCACCCTTAGGGTTGGTTATCACATCTACATGGAAGTTTAACACTAAAAGAGCTTGATTGAATCATTGAAGATATACTCATAATGAATTCTTTACATGCCAGTCAAGCGTTAGCCCCTTCACACTGGGAGGCGGCTATAGCCGCCGTAAAAATTGAGATCCTCAGCCCTCTTCTCAGCCCACACTTGAGCGAACACGGTGAAAGAAGGCAGACCCTGGCTCTTGTATATATGGCAATTGGTCTTTGTGCATAGCCCACAAATGAAAAGACCGATTTTGCATCATAATCACCAGATTCACAATAGTCCCCACTTTGAAAAGAGGCAACGGGAATGTGGAAGGGTGAGTAGAGACGCATGCCATCGAACAATCAGCCTTTTCACCGTGTAATTCAAAGCGTGAGGCTGGAATTCTTGGAGTCGGCTTTCAGGAAGAAATTTCCGTCGTCAAGTGTTGAAAATATTAAGCATGGGGCGGCCGATTTGTCAAATCCCCCCCCCCCTAAAAAATTGGTTCTTTATAGAGTTAAGTAGTATTTTTTTCTATTTTATGTTACGTGAATCATCTGTGAGCATTTGAGAATTTGCCGGTGGAAGATTTTTGACTGCATTTCATGCTACCTGGCTTTCCTTAATTTTTAATCTATGATTATAACTCTCTCTTCTGCCGAATCCTGTTCACAGCGTGTGCCGGGGTTGGCGGTGGAGCAGGGGGCATTCCCTTTGAAGTCTGGTGTCGTTATTACTACCCCAACATAAGGGATCAAGTTGTTGCCAAAGTTAGTATAGCATACATGTGTTGAACCCCGATATTGTCACTTTGAAAAGTGAAACTGACACCTCATCTGCAACAATGTGTATTATTTGAGTGGTGTTTTGTGCAAAATTTGAAAAGTGGTGACTTTTTACGTTTCACAGAGTGTCTAAATTTGAATCCCTTTGTGGAGATAAGTCTAATTCTCAAAACCTGCTTGTTTCAGGAAATTAAAATCATTTGTGTTTAAATTCTCTTTGGCTTGTTTATGTACAGCACCCTGAGTGTCACTCTTCGGCAGACAATGCTGCATGATAAATTTCTGTATTTTTATTACTATTATTTTTTCCAATATGAAGACTTTCTGAAGCTTTGTGCAAATTTGAGCTTTTCCTGCTATTTGCCCTTGGCTGTTCTCCACAGACGAGCCTCCCCCTTGCCAAGCTGTGCGCAATGGTGACCATGCAGAGGCGCGGTGAGCCCAGCGTCCAGACGTTCTCCCTGCCACTCAGGCTGCAACACCCCGACCAGGACTCGCTGACCAAGGAACAACTTGCTAAGGTATTGGGGTCTGTGCGTACACTGCTGAGGGCAGTGTGTTATATAACTCTGTCTACTAGAGCTGTCGTTGACATGTGTCAGGCTTGAATGAAAGAGTGAAGTCAGAGGGAGTTGTAGTATACCCTCGGTGTCGTAGGCAAGTTCCATCCAAATTTCTTCACGAGTCCAGTCACAAGACTAGTCACAAACATGCATGTAGACATGCCAACTTTCAATATCTGAACATCTTGTTGCTTTTCAGCTCCAAGATGCTGGGCTATTGGATGTGACAATCAACTATCGTCATAGCATAGTACAAACAGGTGGTACCGTTCCAAGGAGCACAGAGACAGGGGGTCCGCAAGTCTGTCTGTCGGTGGGCATCCTTAGAGCATGTGGCTTGAAGGTAGGGTCGCTACGCTGAAATGTCTCTGGCTGGCCCGTTGAAACATAGCCGATCTGCATCAGTAGCTGATCGCAGGCTGTGACTACAGAAAGAATGAAGTTGCTGTACTTGATGGTCATTTTATAAATCCTTTATACCCAGAACTCTCTGAGAATCTCTGGGGAGAGCTTGCTCAAGTACAGCTGGAATCCTCCTGCATTAACAGCGAACACGAATTCCTGTCTTTCACCGTCTCATTCTGTTTCACTGTCATTTGTGTTAAAGACTAAATATTGATTTAATGCTCCTAGAGTGCTGCCGTGTCTCTGGCTCAGTTTGATAGCAGTCTGCAGTATCCTAGTGAGGTTGGGGTGAATGCCTATGTTAAAATGGAGCTGTCCTTTCTCTCTAAGCAGGTATGTGTTCCTGGTTGTAAGTATTTACATGTATTGGAACCATTTGATGTTGTTAAGGGAATTGAGCTCACTACATGTCTGCTATTGCATTCAATCGCATTCGCTGATAACATTATTCTAGGGTTGGAAATACATTTGCTCTCTTTGCCAAAAGGTGATGTCAAGACACTGCAAGTCTGAGATGAATTTTTGGATGTAATTTAAAATGTTTGCATATGGCGCAATAGTTACAGGTGGTTTTTAACCTCTTTACCACATCATCAAGGTGAAACTAAGAGCAAAGACTATTTGATTTTAAATGGCCTGCAAGGAGAAAATCTCAGTGGGGTTCTACAAATGAATTTGAAGAAACTTTATCGGTTTGGTATGCATCTTGTATGATACTCCAGGAGGTGCGTGTCACCCAAACCGTTGCCCGTACCTTCGGCCCCGAATTCTCCCACCATGTGGACTTCCCCTGTTCCCTCTTTCTTGAGGACCAGGAGAGCGGTCACCTTAGCTTGGCCGAGGCTTTGGAGACAGCTGAGATGACCTTGCAGGTCTGGCACCAAGTCCCTGGCTTCAAATCAGGTAGGCATTCACAAGGGGGTTTTCCGAATCTCGGATTTGTCTCTGTCTCCTACATCAAAACTTCCTGTGAGCTTATAGACCGCACATATGTTGCCATACTGTTTGTATGGGTTGCCAAAGTTTGCAGAAAATATCACCGTTTCACGGGTGTCAAATTTTATCTCCTAATGCATATTTGCCCTATTACTATAGTTTAAAATAGGGTTGTATTTTCAATTATATTATAGTATTTAGTGGTAGCATGTATTCAATTGGTGTTGTGATAGCTGCTTTAGATTTTTTTAACACTTTAGTGAAGTGTTCCTTTGTTTTTGTACTGACAGCCAGCCATAGTTTAACCCTCCACTGTTTGGCAGAAATACCGCTCTGATGTGGAGAATGCAGACCCCATACTATGCATCAAGCCAAACCGAAACAAGAACACTTCAATTTTTCCTGCCATATTTTAGGCTTTTCCAGCAAAACATGACATTTAATTGAATTCAAAACTCTAAAGACTGTGATAGAAATGAGGAATGGGTTGAGACGCAGATTCCCGAGAACCTCAGTTTGGCATGAGGAGCTTTTACGCACTGTGTTTTAGCAACCTTGCTTGTTTCATTAAGTTTTCTTTCTCATTCCTTGTAGACCACGACGTCAACTTTGTCACCGTAGACGGTGGCACGGGCAAACCAGCGGGGATATCCGCTCGTAGACTGTTTGCTCCAACTGGGGACATTCTACTCGCAACGACAACAATACCACTGCAGTCCCTTCTCTCTCATAGAACAGGTGAAAGAAAAAGTGCAGTGTTGAATTGAAACATTAGCACTGATCTTCAGAGCGAATCAGATAAAGCAATTAAGAGATTTGGCTGGTACTGGAGTTACCGTTGATATATTTTGGGCAGCATAAAGCTTGAGAAGAGAAGCATGGAAAACAGTTTAAATTGAAACTTCATTTTCTTGCAGTTATAAAACAGTGAAAGAAAAAGTGCAGTGTTGAATTGAAACATTAGCACTGATCTTCAGAGCGAATCAGATAAAGCAATTAAGAGATTTGGCTGGTACTGGAGTTACCGTTGATATATTTTGGGCAGCATAAAGCTTGAGAAGAGAAGCATGGAAAACAGTTTAAATTGAAACTTCATTTTCTTGCAGTTATAAAACTTGATTATGAGTGGCAAGTTCAAAGTTCCTTGGGTGTCTGCTCGAACCAAAACATAAGTACAGGATTCAGGATTTCAAATACTTTTCAGTCTGTTCAGCTTTTTTCAGATCCAGCTTGAAAGATAAGTTTCTTGCTCCCCTAGAACTGTGATTAAATAAATTCTATTTTGCTTTAAGATTATCTGGTTATGAAAAAACTTTCCGACAAATAATTGCCAGTTGGGCCGAAAAGCTACGTTTTTGTTTGATTTTATGCAGAGTGGAAATTGATATGAGGACTTGTTCAAATTTGTTGTGCAAATTCACGGAATTTCAATTCTGGAAGTCATGATGGGAATAACACGGTTCGTTCATTGGTACTTCAGGTCTGCAGGGGTGGTACCCCTTGTTGATTCCTGCCCCGGAATGGACTGAACGAACCTCTGTCCATCCTCCCAACCTCCTCTCGTCTGGTTCCCTCGGGATGGCAGGAGGAGGGGGGCAGAGTCTAGATCGAGGTGGAGGCGGCCTAGAGCTGTCCGTCAAGTTTGCCCATCAGGGGGACCGAGAGCGTGTGATCGATGCGGGGAGAAGGGTGGGCTGGTCGCCGGATGCGGAGCTGGAAGGAGTGGAGGAACTGTGGGATGATGAAGGTGCCTGCGCAATTTTCCTCTTGGTTTGATATAAAACTTTGTGAGTCTTCTGCTTGAATAGAGTGGGCAGTCAATTTCGTTGCCGTTAAAGTTGGAGTCACTACAAAATGTCTGCCTATTTCACACTTTACTTCGTTATCATGCCAATACTGTTTCTCTTTTTTGTCGATTGGACAAAGAGATACTTTAAGTTCAATACAGAATATTTGCAAGAACCCTAAATTTGTGTCAAAGATTGTTTATAACTTAAATTTATAATTTAAACAAATGTGAAATTTTGATGAAAATTAATGGACTTGTCCACAGAGAGTGAATATGAAGCACTTGCCTTGTAAGTCTTTCATATTTCTGTTAAACAGAGGCCTCTTATTGTGCCAACAAGTTATTTCATTCAAAATCTTTTGTATGAAAGAGGTTTAGATTTCAAGTTTTAAAGTTTTCCAAGTGTTACAAATGGATCTGATATTGGTCACCGCTGATGTGGGTTGCAACTGCTTGAGTTTCCTGAACTACACGTACCTATCTCTGGAACTCGTCTTCAAATCAGTCTTGTATCTTTTTTTTCCCATCACTCAGACACTGCAGCAGGTTCCTACTCTGCTGACATCAATGTCCACATTGATTCTGCCTGGTTCCCCGTCCACACAGCACTGCGGCCTGGCCAGCAGGCTTTGGACACTGCTGCCAAGGCATACGTCCGTTACAAGTTTTATGACAAAGGTACATATTTCCAAGGGAGTCTGTGCAAGTGAAACCAACTTGGTTAATTTTGAAGAAGCAAGGTGTAAAAAAAATGGTAAAAAGGCGTAATCAGGTGTCTTACAAGCATGGGTACGCCCACTCCCGCACCGTAGTTGTGGGGACATACACTCAACATTTCGCCTATTTTGTGGGGACCGAAAACGTTGTGGGGACTCAGAAATGTCCCCACAACTCGGTTCAAATTTCCCTAGCAAAAGAACTTGCCCCCTTAATGCGGTGAATGCCTACCCATAATTACATGCACTGTATTCTGATGCAATGAAAATTACCCAATAATCATATAGATAGACTTCAGTTAAAATCCCAGTGAAATATGATCAACATTGTAAATTACATCATTGAGCATCTTCCATTGTAGATAATGCAATCTGCAATGGTTTGTTGTGATAGCAAATAAAAACTGAAACCATTTCTCCATAAACCCTGAATAAACTGAGAAACTCTACCTTCTTTAGTTTTACAATAAGGCAATAAACTTTTTTTTTGTAATTTTCCATTTTTATGTCGGACTGCATACTTCTTTCAAGTGACGGGGCTTGTCATTGGTTTTTCAGGTTCCGTTTGCTCCAAATTGTGTTACCTGGATGTGAATGAGGAGAGCTGTGTCACAGCAGATTTCAGGCACGGTCAACGCTTTCACACAGCACTCACTCAGCCTCTAGCTTGGTAGGTCATTCAAGATTGGCTTGAAACTCTCGTCTTGCTGTGAAAAAAAATCCTACTTAGCAAATTTACATGCTAAGATGAAATCAGCAGGGAACTCGTCGTGGGCAATGCCTATCAAATAGCATTGTGGCTAGTAACTTGCTCTTAACAAGCAAAACATTTCTATGCTTAGAATATAACTGTGGATAATAAGTTGAAATACACCAAGTTTTTGAACAAGTCAGCATTCCTAATTATAGTTACTCAAATTAAACTCACAAAGGGCATATGTATCACTTGCAGACAAGCTTAATCCACCTTTAATGAGAGATTTTTAAATAATGGCCCATACCTGTGTTTAATCTTCAGGTATCTTAGAGAAGAGCGATTTGAGATTCAACTTTGGGTCAGTTACAACAGAGAACTGTCACAGACTGACTCAAGCCACTCCCGCCCACGACAACGAGACAAGCTAATTGGTTGTGCCTACATAGACATGTCGGCACTGTGTGATAAAAGAATCAGGCAGCGCAGGATAAGGTAAGATATCAGAATGATTCAAGTCATAGAAACTTCTGTTGGATGATTGTAGTGACCTACAAATTCCCAGGGGTTGGTTGAAGATTCCCTAACAGCGCACACTTTTGTGTAAATTTTGTAGTATTTTTTAACCCTTTCAACACCGCACCCGGGATATCCCGATTCCATAGGAGGTCAGAGGTCACAAAGGTCACTGAGGTCAATAAAAGGTCACAGAATTGTAGCCCATCATCTGTCATACAAAGTGTGAAACTATTGTGTACAAATATGGAGAGGTTAACTTTTAATGATTTTTCACCAAACAACAGTCAATTTATTGAGGTTTTCCTAAATGTGTGTGGGCTATTGAGGGCAACTGTGTGAAAAGAATATGGGAGTGAAAGGGTTAATGAACAAATTCAAGAATGTGTGTTGTATTGACTCATGCAATGCATCAGTTGGTATTTTAGAGACACATTTTTCTTTGATGTACATTTCTACAGTGGGCTGTACCCCTTGTTCAGGCCTGGAGCCAGTGATCTCGGTGGAAGCTGCCTGCGAGTTCACCTCAGCTTGAAGGATGTCCCTAGTGGATTGCATTATCAACAGGTATGACACCTATGTGTCGTTGTATAATTCACACTTCCTGATCACTCCCCCCCCCCCCCGGGATTGTCATGTTTATGAATAAAAGCGATGATTTGTATCCAAACTTTGGTTGCCCCCTTGTTGTTTAAGAATTTGCCATTTCATACAAATGTATTCACATGTACTCACTGTAGTCTCAAAAATCATTTAGACCTGATTTTATGATCGCCATGGAAATTATCAAAATGCAGACAAAATGTTATTAGCCACATTTTTATGCTGAAATAATAAAAAACTACTGTTACTTTCCTTGGCCACTAAATAAAAGATATATTTTCTCCATATTTTAATCTTAATCTTGGTACAAAAGTAAGCAAAAATTCTTCACGAACTATAAAGCAGCACTTCGTAGTTTTCAAGTGATTTATTTAGTGTGCACCTAATACACATCTTTTCAATTTATGTGCATAATTTGATAATGACCTATTCCAGGAATCATCTGATGAAGCCGAGGTCCCCTTGCAAGAAGGGGTCGGGCGAGCCCATTCACCCCACTCACGCCATCTTGCCTCCGCCCAGCCGTCTCGTCCCCCAGAGCATGCCTTGGATACCGAGGAGGCAGAGAGCAGACAAGAAGATGAGAGGAGACAACAGGAGGAAGAGCAGAGAAGAATGAGGAGGCCAGTTCTGATGGGTGTGGCTGTGGAGAGGGCGATGCATCTCATGTCAGTCCCTTCCAGTAACAGGTAGAGAAGCGATCTCCTATTCTGATCTGACTGCTGTCGACATGGGGCACATCATCGGCTCTCTGTCGTCGAAAAATAGGGCTGTGGTTTAGTCTATGATCACAGTCGTTCTGTCTTAAGCTAAGTCATACGCTGTTCAAATGAACCGAGATAAAAGCGACTTGTGATGGTCTGGACCACAGTTCTAGTTGTCAAGCATCCAACTTCTTGAGCGTGGGTTGTTCATTGCGCTCGCTGACCTGACCGAGCTTTAGCTTATAATTAGTAGATAATCTTTTCATGTTATGTTGCCATGGCGCAATGCACATAGTCTTCCTTTGTTGATTAAAAAAAAATCCAACCTGTTGGTGTGGATGATCACCATTATACTTGCTGATATGATAAAGTTTTTGGCATGGCTGATGTACCCAACCATACATGAAGATGACACATGGAAGCACTGCTCCTTGTTTTCCAGTTATTCCATGACTATTATGGGCAACCATCACATCAGGCCAGAATCTTGAAAGGCTTGAATTGACCGCTAGAAAGTTCACCAGAGATTTTGAAAAATTTAAGATTTTGTTGAATTCTTTTTTAAAAAAATAAAATGCAGTGAAGAATTCTGACACTTCATTTCTGTTGACAGACTAGAGGCTGGTCTGCCCAGTTGTTACGTGACATTCCAATCAGCTGAGGGACCCCCTATCTGTACAGCCACTGTGCGTGATACTGCCCAGCCTGTGTGGGGATTCGAACAGGATGTCAGGATCAGTGCTGAGGTCCTTGATCGCCAGGTAGGGGGTTCAAAACCTTTCTGCTTGATGAATTTGAATTACCATTAAAATTCATGCTTGAAGGAACTTCATGCTTGGAGATACTGTGCTGATGCAGTGTTGGAAACCTCAAAAATGTGTGCTTGATTGACATCTCATAAGCATGGAATTCCTACATTTCTCTTGGTATACTTTTCCTCTCCCTGTTGCAGAGTTTCATCTTTAAGGTGTGGCACCAGACATCCTCCGAGCCTGACATGAACAGCGATCGGATGCTGGGCTTTGCCTCGGTGGACCTAGCCCCACTCCTGGCCGGCTTCCGCAGCCTCAACGGCTGGTACAACATCCTGGACTTCAGTGGCCACTGCCAGGGACAGATCAAGGTGTCCATCACGCCCAGGGAGAGCGTGTCGCCTCTCAAACGCTCGCCCAAGCGGCAGGTTAGCCAGACCATCGTGGTCTTTCAGTAGGAGTCAGAGACTAAGCAGTATGTGATTAACCTTTTGACCACCGGCGCAGGGTCAGAAAAGGAAGAATATTTCTATTCTCCCTGGAGCAGATGCCAGTCCATTGCAGGTTGATACACAGTACCAATTTATACTCCCGGGTGGAGAAAGGTAAAGTGGAAGTGACATGACATGCCAAAGGCCACAGCTAATGAGCAGCAGTTTGATTCAGAACCCTGACATGCCAACCGCTAGGCTGCATTCCCATTGATGCAGGGTCAGTATGGCTCAGATACATGTCTTTACGTTTAAGGATGAGAAATCTAAATTGCATTTGCTTGTTTTGATTTGGACAGACGAGCCCTAATACGTCGGCCATCTTCGCGCAAGGTTTCCCCCACGTTCCACTCACAACACTTCCAGGTCACCACCAAGCCAGCCATTCTGCCAGACAGTCCCCTCCGAAGTCAACCCTACCGCCGTCCAGCCACTACCAAGAGCACCTCCAGAATGTTCGCAAGTTCCATGCTGACCTCCATCATAGGCTGCGGTCACGGCAACAGGACCCCACCACTTTTGAGCAGGGGAGGGACAGCCAGAGAGGAGTAAATATGGCACCAACCATCTCTGTTGATGTGGGCCCATCACATGTACCTACAGCTGTCTCCAACTCATTTCTAATGGGAAACCTCAGGTATACATTGACAAAGTTAGATCATGCCTTACCACTGCGTGAAAAAAAGACTGAAAACCCACGAAATGCTGCTTCTCACTTCTTTTCTATCTTCTCACTATTTCTTTTTTTCTAATCATGAATTACTAAAAACTTAATAAAAACTTGACAGATTCTATTTCAAAGTGGCACTAGTGAAAGAAAGACTTGTCTGGAAAAACTCTGTGCTAGCTTTTGGAGGCACTTTACCTCAATTTTTGCTCATGGTCTGAGGAATGAATATCAGTTGCTAAACAGCAGCCTTAGGTAGCAATCTAAACTTGGTCTCTGTATGGCCATCTGTGGCTGTTGGGAACTGCTGAATCAGGATTGATTAGTACTGAAATAGCATGCCCCTCGGGTTTCTCTTTAGAGTATGTCTCAATCAGTTAGTGTCAGTAACCCATTTTCGATGTCAATTCTCCACTACAGAAAAAATCTGGAAGAGCTGGACAGTGTCTACCAGAGATTGCAGCAGAAATTGGCCTCTGATCCACCCCAGGACAGCCCTACTCCCCATGAAAACACACCTTCTGTTGAGCCAGTGAAAAGTCCTCACATTCCCATGGAGAGAATACTCGGTGACCGCGGCAGGGATGAGAACTCCAGAGACCAAGTGCAGTATCCCACCATCGATCCTTTGGAGCTGCCTGACGAATCCAGTCACAGAAGGACGAGTGATGATGACATCTTAGAGAAAGTCAGGGCTGATCTACGACAAGAGGATGCAGAGTACATCTCCGGTGATGTGGATGGACAGGGAGCCGGCAGGCAAAATCGTTACCTTGAAACGGAAGATGCCACATCACCAGTACCCGAGAGCGACTGGGAAGACAGTGTGCAATTTCAGGAGGACAGAGAAGAGGAAGGTAGCGAACCAGATGGAGATGTCATCGTGCCCAGGCCCTTGAATGATGTCTCCTCTGCAAATTTTAGCAACGGCGTCAGGCCTGATGCAGTCTATACAAGGGGAACACAGAATCAGCGAGGAAGTGAACTGGACACACAAAGGCTGTCTGGCGACAAAGCGGAAGATGATGAGACCAGCCTTGAAATGTTAAGAAGACACCAATTTGATGGAAATGATTACAAGCTAGGTCAAACCCCCGATGTGGACTTTGTAGGAGAAAAACAGAAGCTTGACCTAGGACAAGGTTCATCTAGCCAGTTCAGAACTGCTATTGATGCTGATAAAGTATCCACAGAGTCGAATGGAAGAATAGGGGCTGTTGATGAAAGGACAGGGGATTCAACATATGAAATTGCCAAACCTGACTTTGGAGAGGATGACAACAGAGAGGAAATGGTGAATGTCGCCCTGGAGGCAGTTGCAGATAATGATGGTGAAAGGATGACCGACGGAGACTTTGCCAATTCTGATAACCAAGAAGGGAGTCCAGTTGCATCTAGCAAGGGCATCTCGAAAAGCCAAGATGCGTCTGATGGAGTGGACTCAAATTTTGGCCAAGGCAACTTGGTAGGGATGAGACCCCGGCCAGAGTTTTCAGAAGACGTTGATGGAGCTCAATATGCCAGCAGACAACGAGAGCCTTCAAACCAAAGGATCACTGCAGACACTGACAGGGATCAAATGATGAGCGGAAATAGTGACAACCACCAAAGAGTCGAAGCATCTTTGAACTCAGACTGCAACGCTGACAAGTGTTCAAAGGAAGTGGTTGTGTCCCAACAGGACGGGTCAAACCAGAGGAGAAGAGAAGGAACAGAAGACATTGGAGGTGTTGGCAGTCCTGACGACAGCGACGACGACTCAATGGCAATCACCATCGATTCCAGACAGACCAAACAGCAGACCGGAGCAGAAACACGCAGAGCACAACCAGGCAGTGCCAACCACTCGTCGTATCCTTTTCCGATTTGCCACAAAACATTAAGGATCTATAAAATACTGACTGAAGGGAAAATGTGGTGTAAAGGCAAAAGGTGAAATGTGGGTGAGAATTTGTTTCTACAAGTATATAATTAATGCTGAAGTCTTTGCCGTATACAATTTTGGCATGGCAAAATACATATATACTTGGTATTTTTTAGTCTCATGATGAATTGTATAATGTGAAAAAGTAGCCTTTTGAGCTACTAATTATGTACAGATCTGGAATAGGGCATAGGTCGCGGCTGTGTCTTTGCCATAGGCAAAAGTTGGTTGTTCAATACAAACTTGTCAAGCCTAATTTTTCTTGACCAGAGTTGTTCAGTGCCAAATTACCTCCAGCCCAACTTCCAAATTTCTTCCTTCCACCGCGAGATTTAGAGGCATCAATGAGGGCGCTTCACAACGTCACCGGTATCTTGCCACGAGCCCAGCCAAGACAGATTGAAGACGACGAGGCGAGTTGTTTCTCTCTTCCTCCAAAATAACAAAGGATCATTCTTCTTATTTGAAACGGTTCTGAGCTGGAGCCTTGGAGTGAAAAGGGATTTCAGAAATGTGATCAATGTGATGCGAGGTTATTTGCATTCTGTTTGATAATTGGCCCATGGGGCAACTGCTATCCATTTTTAGGAGCCAACGTCACAACCGACAGATGCAGCCAGAGAGCTGACTCGGCGACTAGCATCCCGTCACCCGTCAGCAAGGTCGCGGGCCCCAAGGCTGCCCTCAAAGCCAGCCTACAAGCTGCCCACTGCAGAGGAGGCCAGACGGATAGCCAAGATCTTCGCTTCCAAGTTCTCTGAGAGCTGACACTGTGACACTTAATGCATCAGTGACAACGGCTTGGAATAGAGATGTTGTAAGTAGATTCAGTGGAGAAAACTGTACCCTCAACCTAAAATTATTGGTTGCTCTGCCAACCACCTGTACTGGCAATATACCAATACAGCCGTTTCACAATAGCGCGCCACCAAGAGTTTGCAATGCGTTGGCCAATCACAATGTGCGAAATTTGTCGACCCAATGCGCGTTTGGAAAGGGTCGACAAATTTCGCGTGTTATGATTGGCCGTGTTGCAAACTCTTGGTGGCGCGCTATTGTGAAACGGCTATATTGGTATATTGCCAGTACAGGTGGTTCGCAGAGCAACCAATCTTTGCTTTCCTATTTTTTAAAATATCTCAGCTTTTTCCCCTTGTGTCGTGTTTGCATACATACTGTGTAGCCACATCTCCAAGTTTCAATCTGTTGAAGGCATGAGAGAGGATATGTTTTTTATTCGTGGAAGCATGTGAATGCTTTTTTTTGTCAAATACTAGTCTATTTCAGGCTTTCTGGATTTTTGACAATCAGAAAACAGGTTGTCACTTTATTTAAAACCCGCTCTAAACAGATCTCCCCCTAACCTTTGAAATGACTCTGCAATACGGGGAGCAAAATTAATCTAAAATGGTTATTAAAATACTTCATTTATTGGTTTACACAAAAGAATGTATTTTGGTTTTTTTGGTCCCAATATGTTTTCGTCATGTACTTTTATCACAGCTGAATGATTTACAGCAAGCCTTGTTTTTTGTTCTTTCTTTTTGTTCAGTTCTTGTACTGTACATTTCTGTTGAGTTTGTAATGTAAATAAATGAACTGAAGTGTACTATTTCGTCTTTTTTTCTGTACGTTACTATTTTTGTTCCATCTTTCATTTTTTTTGAAGAGATTGATTTCACATGTTCTGCCTGAAAAACCTTCTCTTTTAGTATAGCCTCCACCATGCAGATTGTTTCAAAGTTTCAAATCTTACTTATTATTCATTTCAGACCTTTATTCATGAACTTTACATAATTAACCCCAACACTCCTCAATCCTCCAACAGGTGAAGGATTGAGGAGTGTTAGGGTTAATCAGGTGACAGCATGTTGATTTAAAGGAAAAAAACTCACACAGAGTGATTATGTAGAAAAAGAAAAACTAAAGTTTATTTTTTACAAACAAAAGTAATGAATAAGGATTGACTAATAAATAAGTCAAAATATCTGCTTTACAAATAATGTACAGGGATACTATGAATCACGTAAAGGGAATTTAAAGCATAAAAATCTGACATTACGGATCTTTCTCCCCCCTCCCCCAGGGGATGAAAAGTCATTTCCACAGGAAATGATTCAAAAGCATCAATCAACCCGATGATCACAATCATTCATGTTAAATGATCAATGCCAGAATGGAAAATGACATGGTACAAGACATAGAATTGTATCGTAAAATGAGTTGCAGCTACTGGTCCACTTGTCAGTCACTGATTGCACTTTCTAGTAGCCCAGCATCCATTTCCAAGTATACACCATTAACTTGCTGGGTCTATCATTTGGACTTCATCATATGCTTGTTACACTTTGGGCACCAAATGTGTACTTTTTGTGCAAACATGGTCCTCTTTGTGAGAGCACGGTCCTCTCACATGTAAGCTCATGCTGGCCTGTAGCAACTGCAAAAGATTTGTAACCGTTCTCAGTTTGGGGATACTGGCAAGGCCCGGTTAATATTTACAACGGTTGGGCAAAATTCTTCTGCCATTACAAAAGGACCTCCTGAATATATGTTGCACGTATGGTACCCAAATCACCTGCCTGGTTTGTATTTGACAAGTTCTGTTTGTTGTTCCATGTCAATATCTAGCTCTTGAATTTTCAAAACTTGGTCTTGGTTGTCTTGGATTACTGTTGGACAGTCCAGGAAAAAAGTCTTGGTCTAGATATTACATGTACTAGAACCAAGCAAATATACAATAGAAAAATAGTTATCCGTGCTAATTGCTGACTTTGTTTAAAGATAAATAGGCCTGCTCATAATAGTTGATTGGCTCTATTAACCACTTTGTCCCAAGGGATGTGTGAACATGCTCTGGCCATCTGCATATACAGTATGCATGTACACATAGGCAGGCCTGATTGGTTGGAAAGCCCTTGGAATTCAGTTCCAAGTGACGTTACAAGCTATTCAACTTAATGTCTGCATTAATTTCGTAAGTAGCTGCTTGTAACCAGAGTAACTAGTAACGTGACATTTTGTTTATCTACCGGTGCGATACGACTTGTGATGGACACAACCGAAAACTCGCAGGACCCATCAGTTTTCCTTAACTGCACCGTACATACATGTATCTGCGGGTAGGCATTCATCGCATTCAGGGGACAAGTTCTTTTATCAGGGAAATTTGAACAGAGTTGTGGGGACATTTCTGAGTCGCCACAACGTTTTGGTCCCCACAAAGTAGGTGAAATATCAAGTGTATGTCCCCACAACTACGGTGCGAGACCATTTGAACACACCTGCCATTAAGAATTGTTATAGTATTGCTTGAATATGGATTTGTACTGTACTGCATTAGACTTCATTGCATCCATGGCATACAGCAGAGCAAAGCAACAGAACTTTACCACTAAGTACAATTCTGTTTACAGGAGTTATTTTCAATGTCTTTTGCCTTCACAATACACACTGTACATAGCAAAGCATATTGTCATTGGAATGTGCGTAACATCCAAGCCGTTACAGCATTACTGGACACACTCCATACACAGAAACGGACACTGCATTACATGTTGCAATCACCATTATTTCTCAGAAAATGACGGGTAATCTCAAATTGCCTGACTGGATTTTTAAAGAGTATTTAGCCTGTTCCATTCTCTCCAAAACAAAAAACTTTTAAAGCACAACAGATTCCCTTTCCAAAGTGACATTGTATCCATGTCCAAGTATCGATGGACTTGCATGACAGGAAGAAAAATACCATTAATACATATACTTCAATCAACAAAAACAGGACGGGAAAGGGGAAAACCAGAATTGTTCTAAACTAATCCAAAGTAATAATGGAATGTTTTCAAATTTCCCGTAGCACAAATACATTCTGAACCCTTCAAATTTAGTTTCAAATTCAGTGCTTAAAACAGTTTTGCAAATTAAAAAAAAAAGAGAAATACTTCAGATTCCCAATGCAGGGTACCACCAAGACGCTGTCAAGCAGAGGTCGTTTTGAAGTGCATTATGGGATAAATAGTCGACAAAGTCTTAATTTGCTACTACTGCGCTGTGCACGGGAAACTTCAATTTTTCTGAATATTCATCTTGGTTGAAAATTTTGAAGTGCCTATTGCAAATGGGAGTTAGGTAGCCAAAATGATGGTTCTGTGTGATGCAGGGAACAACTCGATTAATCACATATCCTCAAGTTACGTACCAAAGTGCCTTCAATCGCAGCAGCGTGTCGACCGTAAACTTGAAAAGTGGACTGTCTGCAGCAAACTCTTGGTGCCACACTGTATTGTGAATCGCCCGTATTGATTCTTACCAAAACAAAGCATAAATGGCCGGCAGAAATAAATAACATGGACTGGAAGCTGAATTTTAGAGTTAGGTAGCACATGATTAAGAATGACATAAGATAAATTACAAGCAGCTGATACTCCTGGAACCTCCAGAGTAAAATCAAATAAATCTTCAATTCCGAAAATGTTATTTACTATTAAAACATTGAAAGAAAAAAGAAACGATTTTGGCACTTCTCCAGAAGGTTAGCATTTTGAGGCTGATGTACATGTATCCTCTCCCTCCAAATAAGGATTTTAACTTTCCATACAGAAGCCTGTAACACATGTAGGCAGATCTATACAGTTAACCCTAGAAAGAGTTGGATGGTAAAATTATATGACAGGTTCTCTTGGCTGTTTAACCACTCCCTGCCGGGGATTCATGATCCGGACACGTATGCTTTATATGCCTGGCCAGGGTCTCCGAAATCGGACAAAGGGAACTGGGCCTTGTAACAAGAGACCATACTCGGAACAAAAGACCAGGCTGCTAGGCATTACCGACATTTTTTCACTCTCAAAAGTGGAGATAATCCAGCCTTGTTTTGAAACAGTATACCACGGTTTGGGGTGTTTAGAGCGAGCGGATTACCAACGGGGACAAAAGCGCTCCACCACCGCAGCGAAGAGCCACACAGCACCGCTGCATGCTAATCTGGACCCTTTTGAAAAGAGGTCAGCAGTGCACTGAGCCAGGTTGAACAAAAGAAAGTTATACAACACCGCACATTGTGGGCTCTTTTTACAAGGTTGCAGGCCTGGCTGAAATACTCGGGCGTCAATAATTTTGTCTGTCAGGCTAGAGTGGACACCAGACAGTCCTTCACATGTTTGTAAGTGTCCAGTAAAGGAAGATAGGAATTTTTAAAGAATTTCAAAAACAGAAAAAAATGATAAATATCCCGGCCCAGCATCGTCAACATTGATAACTGCCCCGGCAGGAAGTGGTTAAAAAAGCAGACAATAAGTCCTATACTCTACAAAGCGCCTGGGCAGTGTTGAACTCTCTTGCAGCCTGGAATATTTCTGATTGTGTGAGCGCATGTAGCTTGTTTACCGATTTCTATTTCCACAGCATCGTGTTGCCTGCCTGTGCTATGTCTCTCCTGTTCCATTCATCAGGGCATTGAGGGCTTGCAGATCATCTGTAGTTGCTGGGGATTCTGAGGTAGTGAGGAAAATGAGGCTTTCTGGCACCAAACCTGGAAACAGCCGCTTCAGAGCATCCCAAGTGCCAAAACATGCCCTGTGGGGAAAAAAAAGTATGCGCGGATTTCCATTCAAAATATTTCTATTACAGACGTGTTCAATGTCCATTCAAGTGTAAATTAAAGGAGGGGTTGGACCAAAAGTTCTAGGAAGGGGGATATTACAGAGAACAAAAGATCCTACACTTTCCAAAATGACCGACACATTTACTTTAAAACCGTGTTCATGTATATGGAATGTAAAATGTTTTGAAGGTTCTAGAATCACTTGCACAGTATCATTAAAAAAATCGGCGATATGTTCTTTTCACAATCACTTAATAGCTTCCAGTCACTAGAGATGACTCTCTCTTCCCCTTAGGATTGTTTAAAATGCATAAAAAATAAATCTGTGCAGCACTGAAAGAAAAATGGCCAGAATATTACACTTACGCAATGATTCCCATGACTATGAGAAAGACATCAAACACCCACTGTCCTCTCGTCAACGACCTACAAATTAAACCAAAATAACTTACATTCTTGTGTTGTTGCACCAATTTGTCTACACAGGAGTCGCGCGACTAGCATTGTCATCATTTATATCAGTTCTTTTAAACAACACTAGGGAGCACTTCTGTGCCCTGGTGATCAATTAACTCCATTTCTTCCTCATCCTAAAATACGTTGATTAAATTTCTTCCCTTCAAACCAATGCAATTTATCTCAGAAGGCAAAATGCATGCCACTTCTCCCAACTGGCTCAACACCTGGCTGGCCACTGCAAACAGCTTCTTCAACATGCTGGTCTACAGCTTCTTCAACAAATCTTTCTGAGGGGCAGCCAGACAAACAGTCATGGGCAAACTGCACATCTGCCAGACATCAGTTCAGCCATTTGTTACCTAGTTTAAACAGGTGCACTGTTATCTGATCCCAGCAGTGTACGTATGACCTATTGCGTATTCTGTACGTGAATTATACCCACATTGAAAAGGTCTTACTGAACAGGTTCAATTAACAGCATACCTATGGGGGTATAGGAGTGTGCCCCATCCCCATAGCAAAAGTCAGTGCTCTTCCTAGTCTTCCCCTCCCCCTTTGTAATTTCAAAATGTGCACAGCTTATACAAGTCACAGTTAACTTGCTTTTGTATCCTTCTGAAATATATGCTCACCCCCCAGGTGCCCCCTCAAAATTTCACCCAAGTTACGCGACTGGATCCAACGTTTTGAGACAGACGGAGCCCCCTAGTCACAGAATCTAAACCAGGCATTAAAGATGCGACTCACTCTTGAAATATCCTCATGTGGAATATCCCTGGTAGGATGAACGCCAGCAGAGTGCAGCAGGTGGCTCCCACTAGCGCCATCAGCGTTGCAATGTTGGGTATCAGGATCACCACAATGCCCGTCAACAACACCATCCCTGAGCGGAGAACGTTCTGCAGGCAACGGAAAGTGGTTTTTGCTGCTTCTAAATCAGTCTGTGATTTCTGAAGTGCACTTGTATGGACTTTGCTTAAAAAACAAAACTAGCTCATATAACAATCTGATGCCCACTCTATTGAAGTTGAATTAGCATATAATGGTACATGTATATGTATCTAACTTGAGATTTTGGGTAATTCCAGAAATTACGGGTCCAAAAGTGTGACTTTTTTGTGTCCGTTATATCTGGCCTTTGTTATTTGACATGGAAATCACCGGAAATGATTTCAAACTATTATCTTTTGTTTGGCAGGTAATTTACATTAATTCATCACTCTTAAAAATTAGATAATGTGTTCTGAACTTACAAAATCACGTCAGATGTGACAGGGACACACACACAAAATGGATTCCTAATTTCTGGAATTACCCATTTGAACTCTCATTGGCTGGTGACTGAAGCAGGTACAAGTATGGCTCAACACACCGACCGCGTAAATACTTTCTTTACTTCACTTATTGCTCATGCCAATTAGACCTTTATTTCGTAGGTTGCATCATGAACTGATGTATCATGGATAGTTGTCACACCATAACCTGAAGTATTGCGTGTATAAAGTCTGTGGACAACTCGTCTCCTTGTCAGTGTTGATGTCAAGACCCTTTAAGACCATCACAAGGACCCCATAAAAACCACCACAAAGTGAACACAAGACCTCCAGTCAGATTTCAGTCACAAACTGTTCAAATGAACCTCAATTAAAAACCACTCCTTTATACTGTTACTTGTGTCTGGTCTTGTGTCTGTTCTCAACTACAACACACACTGCATTTCGAGGTGCATCAAAACTACTGTATGCTTCACTTCATGGGTCCACAGTGAGTTGACAGTGCATGGAACACCCATGTAAAATATGCAACCTTCCACTGCAGAAAAACAAATTGTAGTCCGTGTTGCTGTGGTACTGTTCATAAATACAAGCTGTAATTTAACACATGAGGGGCTCCCTACAAAGGCAACTGAAAACATCTACTGAGGTTTTGGTCCTGACTTTTCAAAGCCTTTCTTTTCTAACGAGCTCTCATAAAGAGCTAAGCATAGAGTATTTATAACAAAGACGAAGGACAAAACCTTACTTAAAAATCCTTGATTTGTTACACAAAATCTGAAGCAGCTGTATCGGTGCCAGTCGTTACATGCCCACAAGTTATCGAGTGGAAGAGATTCTTTACACAAATAGCACTTTTTTCTGTTCAATTTTATTTCTTTATTTTATCAAGGTAAGCTCTGCTCTGACATTTCGACCACTGTATTTCCTCCTACGTCTGATTTTTTTATTTCTGATACAAAATGTTGCACTTTTAAGTCCAAACTTACCCCAGTGGATGTGGATTTGTACGTGCCCTGAAGTAATCTATTTTCCATGATGACCACGACGGGAAACATCATGACGGGATACGTGAAGAACAGTGAGAAACACAGACAGCTTTTGACAAGCTCTGGAATAATTCCTGGGGTTTGGGGGGATAAAAACAGGGCATTATATTTAATCCACTGGATTTGTCTGTGAAGTTGTCACGGATGCTTAAGGCAAACTCTGGCATAAAACTGCATCAGATGATCAGTTTGACCTTTTCCTGTTCTCTTTCATGCAATGGAAATTTAAATGAAAAAGTACAATGTACATGTGTGATAGATATGTTACTTTCTGTTACCCATGAACATTGTAACCCATACAAACTCTTAGAAAATTTGACAAATACTTTGCGATTCTGAAAAGTTGATACACATTCCAAAATTGAACAATGGTTTTCATACCTGGTCCTTTTTTCCTCTTTCTCGTGTTTTCACGATAACTTTTCTCCCTACAACTCTGTGTGCTGAGGATGAACTTACCTTCGGGAAGGTTTAACGTGATGATGCTTTCTGTTTCAGGTCCAAAAGACTAGGGAAGAAAAAAAAAGACGATAAAATAAGACAGTATGAAGTGAAAATCAACAGGGTTTAATCACAGTGCGTGATTGGGAGAATGTTCCAATTATGTTGAAGGTTGGTAGAACCAGAATACTGGATGGCCAACCTGCTGCGTGCTGAAGTTTGATGACGAATTTTACCAAGCAAAGTGAGATAAGTAAAACATATCACTTTTCTAATCAACTCAACACAGAGATGGAATGTTGCAGCTGTTTTCATAGTACAGCCATAAGACAAAAATCAGCCTCTGAGAGTCTCCATGCATCATTGAGTGAAGTTCTTAACAAACCTGCTCGCTTTCTACCACACAATGCACAACGATGTGAAAGGGATTTAAGAGTATACGTAGCTACAGATGTCTTACCAGGTATCCACACACACCAAAACTTATATACAGCGTAGTAACGACAACCAGGGCAAATATAAAGATTCTGGAGATATAAAAAGGAAAATTGGTAAAATTAGCATGCTCACTGTCTTAGAAACAGTTGCTATATGAGTTGATGGTTGTTATAAAAAATGGCAGTAACAAAACCAAAGGAAAATCTGGATCACCTGAGCTGTTCAGACTGCCTGAAATTCTCCTCATTGTCAACCTTGGGCCACCATGTTCAACACAGCGAATGAATGATTATCAATGCTGGACATTCAATCATCCCCCAAACCATGCAAAAAGTGGAAGTCAGGTTGGCGTCTGTAGCCTGGGTCAGGCTTTTGGCAGTCCCTACCTGATTCTGTGGTTAGTCCCTGGACAACCTACCCGAGGATTTCCTCCCACCTCTACAACGGAACCCTTCTCCATTCTCTTCTTTACACAAGCTTTAATGTTTACAGGCTTTCGTACTTTGGAGGCATGCTTGGTTTCATTACCAGGAAACTAACTTACTTTCTGAACTTAGGCCTCTTTGATGCTAAAACCGAGGACTCTAATGCCAAGATCATGCCAGCCCCCTGCAAACAAACACAATATTAAATATGACTTTTCCATGCATAAACATTCATGCATGTAATCCCTTGAATCGATTCATCACAGCTGTCTAGGATTAAAAAAATGGAGATTCTGGCCTTGGCTTTACATCAAATGAAATCTTGTGAATCTAAAATAGATTATTCCTATACAGTGCGTACAGCTTCACAAATGAAATATCCACTGTTCACTTCCAATTATTGGTTGCTGCTTGGGTGAGGCCCATGTCTTGGTTCCCAGCTTTTTTTTTTAAATGAACGCGTAAATTTGCCTAAACGCTATTGTCCCCTGAGCAGCTCTATCAAAATGACATCCTTTGGGTCGTTCAGTTGATGGACATCCGGACTGTCCTTCAGTCATTAGCTGACAAGAATAACATCTACATGGCAAAGATAATTTTTAAAAAAATCTTGCAACATGATGTAACCGAAGAATGCAAAACTAAAAAAGTACCTCGTAGCAGTAGAATGCGATTCCAAGAAAAAATGGAAACCCAACGAGAGACATCTGCTTTGGGTGTATACTGTAGAGAAGAGAAAATTTGGCAAGGCAGAGAAATACAAAGTGACCAGTTGGGAAGGTCCATTACGATTCCAGTAGAGCATAAACATGGTGAAGCAAGAAAGACATGTGAGGTCAAACATAGATTTGAAACTGCTTTTACTCACCGGACGTTCTGCACATGCTCAAAGTCAAACCAGAAGACAACGGAATACGCAAACATGTTGGCAAAGTCTGCAAACAAGCTGGAGCAAGGCAAAAGGACCAAACTACAAGGTATTAGAGGGTTAGTACCATGCTACTGCACCTAAAAATAATTTGTGAAAATAATCCAAACTGTCAAGTAAAACTTCCTTTATTAGTCCAGAAACCTTGATATGCCAGAATACTTTACTTTAATCATCACTGAATAGTGTGCATTATATACAAGTTACTTCTTGATCCAACTTCCTCAAATGTAAAATCAAATTTTGTCGAATTGTAAGCACAAACATTACTTCACACCTAGCAGCCTTTTTCAGCCCAAATAGCATGCTAGTTGTGTGACGCATGTATGATTATTTTTGCCACGGGAATCTGCACAGCAATCATTTACACAGAAACAAAGTTTAACAGACAATAGCATGCCTAAGGCTGCCCACCTGAAGATTGCTAATCTGTTGAGGTGTCTTAACAAGCACAGCAGGGTCAGAGGGGCCATCATCAAGCCGATCCAGCCATTTTTGCTGAGGCCCGGGACAAACGTGACCAAGTTGCTGGAGATAAAGATCAGGTAGGCACAGGAAAAACCTGCCCAACGGTCAAACAAAGAACGACACAAGAGTAAGTAATCTAGAAGAAATATTATTTACATCTGGTCTGAGATGTGTTAAAGTTCATACAGCTCCTAAGAAGAAAATAATGCTTGGCAACTATAAATGGTGAACCCATTACGAGCTGCACTGCATGACGTTTCAGCTGGTAACCTATTTTGCTAAGAAAGAGTTTCTGCACTCATCAGCAACATGAATCTGCCCCAGGGTGAATACACGACACTGAATCTCAGTTTACAATGTGATCAAGTACAAGAAGAATTATTTTGCTATCCAAAATGACACTAACCAAAATTAATGAGAATCAAATCAAATTTAAAATAAATAATTATTCAAATAATGAAATTCCCTTTTTTTTCCCCTCAATAAATGCTGTAGCTGTTGCAGACAAAAGATGGGTAGCTAAAACTATGTAAAAACCATACACTACAAAGTCATTCCATTACATTTGGGCTGGTTGCCCATGTTTCATATGGCCAAATTATGCTTGATTTAGAGTACATGTCGTATTGTAGCTTCACTCACCAACTTGAGACACCACAATAGAGATGTCAACGATAACTTTGCCTTTACTTCCAAGTGCATAAAAACCTAATTGAAATGTAGAAAAGAGACACAGAGAGATTATCAATGCTGTCACTTTATTTTTCAAGACACTGCACTGAAAAGTTACGAGGGAAAATAACAGGAAGGACTGATCTTCAACCTTTTAGAGGTACGGTATGACACATTATGAATCATGCTTGTCATAAGACTTGGCTCTGTCAAGCACTTTTTAAGTTAATGCAGATATTGTCTCTTTCTTGAGAGAGTCTGCCATGTTTGGAGAGCGACTTACAACAAAGTACCCAAGTACTGTGGTTCAAAACTGAAAATATATTTCAAGCCAGGGAACCAGATATTCGTAACAACTCACATGATGAAAAGTGGTTTTGAAAGGCTTTTGGGGGGAAATCTTAAAATAAAAACTATGTTAAATGAAATTCAAAGACAGATTTCAAATTTGCTCACAATTCTTAATCTGTGACCTATGGTGCAGCATCAGACATATGTTCTTTTGCCACAATGACATGATCAAAAAAAGAAAAAAAAAGAAAGACTTGTTTACCACAGGATAAAAATGTATTGGTGTTCTGATTTCAGAGATTGTTTGGTAATTCAGGATTTCTTGCTTATTACAGACAGTGCTGCTCTCATTTTTTTCTCTTAAGTTTCAGGGTTGGGTTCATTCTACAAGTATCCAGGTACCAAGTTTTATGTTATTATGGTTCCTTATGCATATGTAGTCCCTGTACCACCCATGAATTCACACCACTAAAATGGGCAAGCCAAAAAAAAAAAGAAAAAGCAGCGACTAAAGCTACATTTGTGCAAACACCAACTCCATCAAATAATACCAGAACAATCACCCCCTTTGAAGTCTATTTCTTTATAACATGATGTCCTTGATGCCGGAAAAACTGATGGTGAAGCCATAGTGCTGTTAATGCCATTTACAGTAGCAGTCTGTGCTGTATGTGTACCTCACTGAGCCAAGGAATTTTCCCAGGCAAACGGAAACGACCCAATGAGACCAAATATATGAAGCAGTTTACCTACGTGTATTTTATGCCGTTACTGTTTACCACATGAAGAGAGACATTTCATTGGCATAAACATGTTGAACAACCTTGACACTGGTTTAGAATAGCCATGCAAAGATTAGAAATTGACTATGCATTTGATACAACACACAATTTATGGACAAAGATGCCAACTTGAATTTTCTGTGAAATTGTGCAATTAAAATCGTCCCTGTTTTTTTTTACCATCACAAAGTCCTGTTGGTGCATCTAATTACATGTATGACTGGAGCGTGTGCTTGCTGTTCATATCTTTCAGTTCTTGTTTATCAAAATTCTGGTATATCGTTGTGCAGATACACGTATGTAGTGTGTTTATGCACACCGTATTACACACCACACACGTCCTCAGTTTGATAAAAGCCTTATAGAACAGTTTGCCACATTGATAAATTAAACACTCCAACTCTGTGCAAGCAATTATTAATTCAACACCAGTTCTGGAATAATTTTAGCCGAAATGATCATCCTTAGAGATTAAATTTTCATTGAATATTCAGCTACCAACTTGATACTAGGTGATCAACATGCATGTAATGAATGCACATGTACTGTAGAAAACATGTTATAAAACCATTCTGGTTTGAATTCACTGTGTGCCATGCATTATATGTATTCAAACATACCATATCTCTACAATTATTTAGTGAATAAGATTAAATACAACCTGTTTTGAATTTTCCATTCCCCAAAGAAAGTTTTATAAACTCCGAACTAGACTGTCTACAAAAACATTTAAAACATGTAGGAATAACATTGGCACGTTATGTACAGTACATATGTACAGTCCCTGTTTTCAATCTGAACTACATTGTACAAATGGAAAAAGCACAACCACAGACAAAAAATGAAAATATCATTATTTAGGTTTAATGTAATCTTGAAAACTCACCAACATCACTGTAATCTATCTCATTCTTTGAACTCTGTGGACAGAAAAACAGACAAAAAGATAGAATACAGACTCCAATATACTGACTATAAAGGGACTTGAAAGACATTAATAACATTTCCATCCTGGCAAAAATTTCTGAAAAAAAAGAGAAGAGTGGTTGCTTGGATAAAAATGACATATTCCTTTTTTTAATGATTAATAACAAGTTATGTTTTTTAACAGGAAAGGCACTCTGAATAACTTATTTTTTCAGTAAAAAAAGAGTTAAAAGAGAGTTTGAAAGTTAAAAATCATCAATCTGTGATCAAGCAAAAAGCCAAGGAATACAGGAATATTATTCAGCCAAAATTGAGAAAAATAACCTGGATAATAAGGGGTTTCCTAATTGCATCGCAGCTTCTGTCTGAAAGTTATGGCTACGGCTTGGAATAACACAGTATGCGCTTATGGAGAGCCACTTGCTAGCGGCTGCAACCACTTCCCATATAGGCCCGTGCAGCTGCCAGCCACAACCAGTCGTTGTGGACACAGCCCCATTTCCACTTACAGCAGATTCGTCTGAACCCTTCCTCCGCTGGCCGCTTGCCTCTCCATTCTGCGCCGACGCCTCCGATGACTCTACCCCTTTCAGTAACTCCTCCTCCACGTCCTCCCCTTTCACCTTGCTGACAATTTTGAATTTCCTGCGGACATCTAGCCTCTCTTCCAACTTGTACTTGCAGTCGATAAGCATGAGCATGGCCTTGACACTGATAAAACAATTATTTGTAAAAATTTAAATGAAAATTTTTTTGTTACACGTCCCACTCTGAAAAAGTTCTTCCCATAGCAAGGTATTTAAAAAATAGAGTAAGAAGGTGGGTTGGATTTTTTTTCACTTTTGTACATTGATTCAGTATGCAGCTAAGTGTTTATACTCTGTTAAGACCATTTTAGACCACTCTCGTTTTGCCTATAATTTGTATGGGCAGCCAAAGTTTGCAAAAAAAAAATACTCTTTGGTTTTTTTGTTTCACCTCTTTCTTTTCAAAATGTACATATGTCCATTTGATTTGAAAGAGGGTTGAATTTTTATTTCATATTTAGTAAAACCTGTATTATTATCTTGAGTTTCAATGGCTGCATGAGATTTTTAACCCTTTGTGAATCATTCTTTTGACTTTGCAATGACAGCTAGCCATGGTTTCAGCAACCACTTGTAGGAAAAACGCAACTGCGGCATAAAGAGAGCAGACTGCTGAAAAATTTACACCGGCTGAAAAGACAAGATGGAAATGCCATTGACATGACAAATTGACATATATGCCAGTGGCTGACGCCATATAATACTTGCCACTAAAGCAATATGATCATCTCTCTGGATCCACCAAAATTCATGAGTACATTTAATTGTGTGCAGTGCTCATAACTCACTATTAAAAATTGGCTGAACAAAACTGGACCATTAAAACCAACTGTTTTATCTGCAAAACTGAATGTTAGATCACAGGGCACATCTCGGAAAGATAATGTTATTACTCTTAACAATACCATTGATGATACTGATGTCTGAGTTTTATTTAAAGAACATGCCACTATCTGGTGGCACAATGAATTCTGCAGGATTCAGAAACGTTCCTGGCAAAAGTGCACGGAGAGTTCTTACTCTTTTGGTTTTTGAATACTCACCTTACAACAGACACAAATCCAAGAATTAAGACCCCTTCCAAAATTCCAGCCTACAAAGACAAAATGTGGCATAAGGAAACGAATTGTTGAAAATAATAAATTCTTTTGAAAAATAATTTGATAATGTTTTAAACAATGAGTCATTTCTAATTTGGTGTTAGTCCAAAGACCTGGGACTCTCAATACTGTGTATGAGAGTCTCAAATTTAACACTGTAAATATATGTCACACAAAAACCAGACTAAAGCATGAAACAACTGCCCAACATTCTTGGGTATCAATTGTGTCAAAAAAATTTGGAACCGAGTATTTATTTCTATACAATCAGTGAGGTTACTGTGACTTGTGAAAATATGGCATCAGTAAGGGACGGAACTGGGGGGAGGGGGTAAAACAGGGGCCGGGCCCCCCAAAATAAGGAAAAAGTGACTTTTTAAAATTTATTTCCTTTCCCCTCCTGCCAAAGTGTTTAAAATCACCAAACTGTAGCCTCAATTTTCCAAAAGGCCATCAAAGGTTACAGAAATAAACAAAATTCCAAACTGTTTGCCTCCCTCCAAAAAATTGGTTCTGGATCCATCCTTGGGCATCAAGATACCAAATTAGGCAATCATTAATTACTTCTATAAGGCCCTGCTTCTATGTAAATAGGGCAAAGGAACAATAGACTGGTGTGAAGTTTTTATAACTAGGCTTCATCATGCGCTTGGTGTACACGTGATGCCATGCATGCAAGACCATGCATTCCAACATGAATTGGCTGCACATACTCAGTAAGCCGTGAGTCAAATGAGCATAAGCATACATGTACAGTCCTAGGACCGTTGTTTGCATGTAAAACATGCCCTCTCTTGTTCCCCCTGAGAGTAGACAGACCTTATCACAAATATTACTTCAGTGATTTGCACAATACTCAATACATGTAGCTGCAAAGTGGCCCTAGAGCTATGGGTTCATCATGATCTCTGACTCCAAAAGTGAGAGAAATAGAGTGCACAACAGGCCCCATTAGTTTTAGGGATAACTCTGGTTGCACAGCACTATTAGAATGAAAAAGGCTTGGTATCTGCATCTTTTCTCTTCCCACACTTCTTTTTGGCAATTACGCAAAAATATGTGTATACACGTGCAGGGCACGATCGGTCTACAAGCATGATCATGCCATCGCTATCAGTCGATCCTGTATGAAATCTCAAACTGTACCGAACCCTTTTTTGAAACAATCTTCTGAAACTGCAAGTATAGAAGAAAACTCTCCTGGCTGATGGCAGCATCATGACTAAATCTGCAACATGATTGATGGTTAGCACATACACAAAGATGAAGAGATCAAGCACTTTTTGCATGATCAAACCATCACATACAACATCTGTAATACATGTAAGTTTAAATGTCTGTAACCACATACATGTACATGTAGTCACCAGGTCACTAATTTCGGACTTTATTTCCCTTTAAAATCCTACAGAGGTATAAATCTACCAAAAAAGCAACAAAAAACATGTATCGAAATTAAACATGCCATCTGACTGAGAAAATACAGAAAAAAAAGAAGGAAAAAAAATGGGGAAAAAAAAATTACATTTCCAGCAGACTCAATCCTGGCACACTGGGATAGAGTACCGAAGGGTGACGTCACTGTGAGCCAGAATGTGTAGTGCAAACGAATGGAGTAGGCGAACGTGTTGGTTCACGCATTGGTTCTCGCGCTAATGCCTTTTACACACTAATTGTGCGCGTGACGTATTCACTTCGGTACTCTATTGCAGAGCAGCATGCATACCAACTTAGCTATCGCAATGGAAATTGAAACCTTATGCATGTAATTGTGCAATCATGAATGCAATTAGGAAGTTGTGTTATGGTTACCGTAACTACATACATGTACATGCAGGCCTATAGTCACTTTGTTCTAACAAAGTCCTCCCCATGCCCCCTAAGATAAGACACCTGAACAGGCTCAATTTTTCACGCTCCAGTTTCAGTTGTATAACCAACTGACAAAGCCTAAAGCCTATAAATTAAAGGGAAGGTTTTCCCAGCTGTTGAGGCTACATACAGTGATACACCGCAAAGGTAATTTTACTAACTCAGACTAGAGATGAAGTCAGACACACCTCCTGACCTTGTTATGCCAAGTCTGCAAGGTGTCGTAAGAAACTGAAACACTTAGTGAAACAACAATGTAGAAGTGTCCCAAAAGTAAGGAATGTCCAAATCTTTGGAAAGATTACCATTTACAGACAACACTTGATACTCCTGTGCACAAACCTAGCCTATTTCAGGCCTAAGCCTAGCCTATTTGTCTGAAAAAAGTGTAGGCAACCCCACATCATGCTTCCGAAATTTCTCAGCTAAATTTCACTTTTTATGACATGTTATCACTTTCATGACTTTCTGATGGCTGTTATTTAAAAAAACGGTCTTGTTCTTAGTGAAACTCTTTCCAATTTTTTTTTCGAATTTGAAAATACCAATGCATGCAGTGGCTGAACTTCTGAATTCTAGTTTGACAGCCATCACAGAACTGGTCAAGCACACTTCACACAGCTCACCGTTTTGAACGCGAACGGAAGACCCAATCCACCGGCTCCGACGAAAGAAATAAAAATGTTGGCAAAGATCTTGACAGGGTTCGTCGCTCCCCCTCCGTCATGCATTTTGAGCTTATCTTGGAATACCTATTATGTCGAAATGTGACGAACAGAAAATACTTCGCCTTAAGTTCAACCTCCGGCTCCACTTCCTATTTGCCAGCATGGCACTGATATGACACGCAAAAGTAGGTAATGTACCGTCAATCATGTACTTTAATTACAGGAATCGCTCACCTGCCGAATCTAAGGCCGTTTTCCAATACTCGACTTGGGCTCCGTCTCAGGCTTCAACTTTTTTTTTTACTTCCTGACTTTGAGGTTGTAAGCCAAATAGTAAGTCTAATAGTGGCAAAAAGCATCAAGTAGGATGCAAAAGAGCCAAATATTACAGTACTTCAGGCCCACGATCGGAGTTTGGTTTCCTACACGAAGCCTCTTACAGAGACGAAGTTGATTTTAGAAAACGGCCTTGGTCTACGTATGTCACTCTGCCTAAGAAACAACGGCCTTTTAAAAGCGCCCTCTACGGTCAAAATGGATTTTCATCAAGTCTTATTCCTAGACCCTACTACTTGTAATCAGAAATGCACCAATGAACAAGACCTGACGATTATTTTACACACGCACACGTGAGGCCTCATCCGAACAACACACTAATTAATTCATATTCAGTCAATAGGCCCGCCGATAGTCTGATACTGTACGTTTAATTTTAAGAATTTCAGAAAGAAAATGAGCGACAGGAACCGAAACCAGCTTCCGAACAATCTGCCACAGTTGCAGAACCTCATCAAACGGGACCCACAGTCGTATATTGAGGAGGTTGGTAAACCATTGTCCATCATCCATGACGACCATCATGACTTTCACATGCTGTCTGTCATGTCTATTATTAATTTACAGTACAAGCCAACCCCGGAACTGTGGGGTTCGTCGTCCACGGTGGACGAATCCCGCAGTTCTGGGGGTACCATGTAACATGGTAAGGCATAACATTAGAGGCTGAGCATGCTGAGTAATAGTGTCACAATCAAATGTGTTTCTTAAACATAGCCATGATAATTAAATTTTAGGTTTAGGCTACAGNCCTACATCATCTGATAATAGGCGCCACCGTCAGGTCCTGCCATCCCTACTACTTTTAGTACCACTAACTACTTTATCAATTAGGACGTGAATTTGACATACGGCCAAGGCCCAATAGTAGTAGCAGCCTGATAATGATTATTCATTTGGGGAAGAGCTCCATAAGATATAGGCCTACCTGTACACAGACATTGCTAAGGTGACTTATTTTTCTCCCACACTTTGCCTTTTACAAGAGGTAGTTTGAGGCATTTACTTCGAAAATACCAACTGCATGGTTCCTAAAATGATTTGCTGCCATTACCTTCTGAAATGACTCATGCTTCCCTGCCAGCTGACTTACGTGTAGGAAATATGAGACTGCAATTGTCAAACTTTGCCCACATTTTGACTTTTTTTGTACATTGTACAGTTGCCAAAACTAACGTGTTTTGTTAAGACAGATCTCTTTGTGTAATGCCACCTGACTGACACAAATGTAATTTTTTTTGTTTATTTCTGTGATGGTTATCATTATCATTCTTTGGACCATTCCAGTTTCTTCAGCAGTATCGCCACTATGAGTCCAACTTGCAGATTTTCCAGCTGAAACCGACACAACACTCCAAGAACCTGGCTGAGCTTGTCATGTTCTTCTGCCAGGTACCAGAACCCCCAGCAAAAGCTCCCTCACACTCACATGTATCAATACACCCATTGTTACACAGGTGTAACTATTGTGTGAAAGGCCAAAATTTAAAAGAATGTCTGGTCAAGGTTTTAAAAAGAGGGAACCGTTTTTTTTCCTTTTTGGCAGATGGATCCTCTGGACTCTTTTGCTGGTCGGACTTAAAAGATTACTTGTAGCATTTTGTTGTCAACCCAAATAGCAAACTCTTCTAAGGACATCCAACAGCCAACTGACTTTGCTTTGGCTCCCAAACCAGTTATCTTTTCAGGGAGTGTAAAGTCAGTTTCCTGTATGTTTACCTTGGTGGGTGATGGGATAAACCTGTTACAATTTTCAATGTATTTTGCACACCATATATCTGTAGATGCGGAACATGTGTTGAAATTGAACTTGGCTGCTGTAGACACTAGACAGCCTGTCATTGTAATAGATACCACTTTCTGATGGAAGGCCTCATTTTTGCGAAAAAATGAAGTAACCGTGAGAAGTATCGTACAAACAACTTTTACAAATGACTTTTAAGTCAGCATTTGTAGTGGTTGACTTAATAATGCTGCATAAACAATGTTACCCAAAAGTAATCTCAGCATTCTCACAACATATGCCAGTCCACCATGGAAAAATCTTAGTTTCAAGTTTAGTACTAAAAGTTTTTTGTGGTCTTTTGTGTACTAATGGTACACATGTAGGTGGCACAGTGTTACCCGAAGGAGCTAGCTGGGTACCCACAGCAGCTGATAGACCTGCTGCGGAGGCATAGCACAGTCTTGGACCCAGACATGAGGATGGTAAAATGGAATCACATCAAATTAATCTCAATTATTAAATTTCAAATTTACTTCCATTTCAGTCCAAATTATTGCAGTTTGAACTGAAATAAATGCAAAGAAATGTCAGATGAAGCCTCGACTTAGACCATGTCCAAGTCAACTGGCCATAGTCACGAGTGGTATATGCCCCTATGGGAAGTGGCTTAAGCTGGTAGCCAGTGGCTTTCATAGTGGCTCATGTTATTTCCAGACACTAATTTCTACACTCAGCCTTGCAGTAAAGAACCAGTTTAGTAAAATACTCGGGCAAAATTTCACTTTGTGATAAAATTTGCTTTGATGATATCGGCTTTGTGCAGGAACAAAAGAGGATGCTGTTTTACCTGGAAATGACTTCCCTTTGGTGAGAATTAACCACTTACATGCACAGTGTGCTTGGGGCTTTTAATACGCACAACTAAGTTTTGTTGCACTGTACGGTCTTCACGTGGGCCCTCGGCACATAGTCATACACTAGTCCAATTGAAAAACTTCTCACCAACCTGTTTCTTCTTGTCAGAGCAAATTTGAGAAAAGACTCGGTTTACTATCCTTATTTCTCCTCTCTTCACCCTGAAGACATTTTGCAAGGGGTTGATCTTACTGCGCAACAAAGGACTGATTGAGCCCACAAGCCTCCTGGAGCTGTTCTTTGAGCTCCTTCGCTGTCAGGACAAACTCCTCAGGAAGATGCTGTACCATCACCTGGTCAATGACATCAAGAGGATCAACAAGAAACACCAAGACAACCGAGTCAATACGGTGAGTCTTCATCTCTGGACAACAAAATCCTGTAACTGAGCTTCAGAGCTTGGTAGGGTACGTAGAGTTCTCGACAAATGAGAATAGGTGATGATTTATAGTAAAGAGATTGATTTATTCGCATCTACACACAAAAAAAAACAACAGTCGGTGACCAGTCAATCCAAGTTTTGTGGATGCCTATATATGAATTCCTAAAAGGCTTCCCCAAGTTGTCACACTGACTAGGGTAGCAATAAGGCAGAGCAGTTGTCGCCCATGTATCTCTGCTGTGATTTTGCTGCACAGTTTTAGGAAATTTGTGCCTGTCAAATCACAGTTCACACCGTATTCGGCGAGTCTGCCTCAGCTGTAAACTTCAAACTTTGTATTTATTATTACAGAAAAAATTGAAATAGTGGCAACATGCAGTACACGAAGATATATCTGTTGAATGCTGAAAACCTCTTTTTGGTTATGAATGTATCAGCAACACTGAGTTGATAGGTTGTCGTATGTATGGCTTATATTATGCATATGTTGGACATATTCTTAGACAAGGAAGACAAAACAACTTATTTAAACTGTTTAATTTTGTCCAATGAATTTCAATAGTTTTTGTCTTAAACACTTCCTCCATTTCGTTGGTTTGGGTCCTTTCCAATAACAGACTCTTCAGAATTTCATGTACACCATGCTGAGGGACAGCAACGCAGTTGCTGGGAAGATGTCGTTGGATGTCATGATAGAACTGTATAAGAAAAACATCTGGTAGGTACTTGACAGTTCTGTATTTCCAACTTCGGAAAACATTTCCCTTGATGTTCTTGCAATGAACTCTTTCTAATTGATATTTGACTGTTTTTATTCTGTTTTAACTTTGAACTGCTCCAGAATGAAAACTATTTTGCTGTCTCGTGTGTTTGGCCCAATCTTTTCTATATTTACAATGTATATAAGAGATGCCCAGCACTAAAGTGTCCTTAACAGTGGGTACGAGTGGCATTGAGACACCAGACAGCCCCAAGGCTGGAAATGATGTTCTCTCTCAATGATGTGTTCAAGCAGTGGGTGAAGCCAGTTATAAACTATCCCTTAGGGTCTGCATATAACCCTTGCCCTGAACTGGTTTTGTACAATGTAGGCGAGACGCCAAGACTGTCAATGTCATCGTCGCAGCTTGCTTCTCCAAAATAACCAAGGTAAGAGGTTTTTCTTATTTTTAAGGTAGACATTGATTTTGAAACTCATGTGAAAGATGAACTTGACCGTTGGCTATTTGGAGTTTTTAAAGTGTTTTGCACATAGTTAGATTCATAACAAAAATTAGTCAGGCGTCGTGGTTAATCCACTTTTCTATGGGAATAGATTCTTGTGGCGGCACTGAAATTCTTCTTGGGCTCAGACGCAGAGGAGGATGGAGACAGTAGAAGCAGTGACTCAGATGTAAGTGAAGTCAATTTTCGAAAATATTCACCAATGGCTGTTACTGGAAAGAAAGCTTGAATGGTATATCGCTATCCGCCTGGAGTTGAAGTGCACCCCCAAGCTGCAAAAGAAAGACAGATGGTTGTAAGTTTTCCAAGCGGGTTCTTGCATGCGTTCTTCGTGTATACAAAGACCATACATTGAGGAATAAATTTATTACGCATACTCAGCGTGCTCCGCGTCAAACTCGCCATTGATCCCCTTATGAACGCATACCTATGTGGTGAGTACTAAAAAAACCCACGCCCTCTTTTGTTTCGCTCAGAGTGGATTAGGTAGAGCTGTTGTTGATCTCGTCTTAGCTGTACGTGGAATTTTGGAGTGACGTTCAAATCAAAGGCAAATGTCACATTGAAATCCTTTTACTATCAGCACGTGATTTCCTTCTCCTTTTGCTCGATGTATGGAATAGCTGTTAACAGAACAAAGGGAAATCTCAAAATGCAAAGTTCAAATAGTCACCCGTACCCTAACACTGTCATGCTGTATTGTACCAGGATGACGCACCCACTCAGAGAACGTTACTGATGGCCCAGCGCGTCAACAAGAAAACAAGGAAAAGACAACGGAAGACTGAGATGGCCCTGAAACTCCTCAAGGTTTGAACTAACTCCCGATGCAATTGTTGATACAGATTAAAAATGAACTGGTTTTTGTGTTGAGAAAACATTTCATTGATTTATTTCAGCGATGTGTTTAGTAAAGCATATCAAAAACACCTATATTAAACAGAGTAATGAAACCAAGTTCAACTTCATGGAGCTGATTAGCAGAAAATATTGTACAGCGGTTTCATCAGCTGAGCATGAAATGATGCAAACCAGCTACAAGCAGTATACAGAAGGCATTTTTGGTTGGTAATCTGTTCTTGCTGTTAAAGCCAAATTTCATGGTTGCTCAGCAAATTTTTGTGAAAGCATTAATTTTATTTGTTGACCCTGTCATCATTAGCAAAAGTACTACTGCTAGATTTGACATTTCTATGTCTTTGCACATTGACGATTGCACAGAAAACTGAAACAATTTATGCCTTCTTGGGTGCTACTCTCGATATTCGGGATGCAAGAAAATGCTGCATGTGCATTACTCTCAGATCACATCGCGCAAAACAGAAAAACGGTCACCATTCTGCCATCTTAAGGATGACCATGTAATGCAAGAGTAACTTCTGGTCTAATCAAGAGCATGTTCTCCCTTACCCAGAGTTCATACTCCTGCTCTTCATGAATTCAGGGGTGTACCGATGTTAACACAAGTGACACATTCAAATGCTGCCTCGGTGTCTGACAGTAAGGCTCAGTGATGACTCTTGCGTGTTGGTTTTTTTTCCCAGAAAGAAAAGAAGAAAAAGAAGCCTGTGCCCTTCAACTTCTCAGCCTTGCATCTTATTCATGATCCTCAAAGTAAGTTCATCAGACAAAACGGTTTGAAAAGAGACTAAAAGGAGCGTGTTGAAACTATCATTACTGTGGATATATTGAGTGGAGTATGTCTCATTTCCACCTTGGAACAAGTGCCTAGCTGCTCAAATGCGACTCACTTTAAACATAACAGCCCCTTTGTCGACAATCAGGGCAACAGCAATCCACTATCGCCACCTACCCTGTCAACCTCCGACCACGCCGCCTCTTTAAATTTCCCTCCCTTCTGATCCCCTTGCAGACGTTGCGGAGAAGCTCTTCAAGCAGCTAGAATCCTCCAACGAGAGGTTTGAGGTCAAGCTGATGATGATAAACCTGGTGTCCCGATTGGTGGGAATCCATGAGCTCTTCCTCTTCAACTTCTACCCTTTCCTGCAACGGTTCGTCCAGCCACATCAGAGAGGTAGCGTTCTTGATGCACTGACTCATATGTCAGATGGACTTATTTTTTCTTCGTTATTACAGACCTTTCTCGACTAAAAATAATCCCCTTGGAAAGAGTCCATGTACTTGTCAAACAAACTTTTCAGATTATGCTTTGAAGATGGAATTTGCAATAATTTAAAGCTTGTGATCCTGCTGAAATTTATTGTACGATGCATTTTTTTGCATCGGGGAGAAGTTAAGTTTATATTGCGTGGTTTGTGCTCTGGCATTTTGTAAACCCTATATACTCAGCTTTGTGTGAGTGTAAATGAAAAAAACTTGCCTTCAGACAAACTCCCAGTATAGGATTCCCATTCATTTTGCTGTAACAGTCACAGACAGTCAAAAATGCTTTTCACTTGATTTGCTGCGACACATAGACATGAAAGGGTCATTTGACTGATTTTTTACATGAGTGCATCTTGGCATTGGAGGGTTAAAGGTTTCTTGTTAAAACAAAAGCACTATTAATCCCATTGGTTCAGGCTTGTCAACTTGAATTTATCATTTGTTTTTTTCCTGAATCCTATCTCAGAGGTCACAAAGATCCTTCTGTGTGCTGCCCAGTCCACACATCAGCTTGTCCCTCCCGATATCGTAGAGACCATGGTCAGGACCATCGTCAATAACTTTGTCACAGAGAGAAACTCCAGCGAAGTGATGGCTGTTGGGTAAGCCATATGAATTGACATCGTGCTCCTTCAATTGTGAATAATTCTTATGATTATGGTACAAATTTGCTTTCCAAAAGACTACTGGAACTGTGCAATGATATCAGTGATTCATGGCATGCATGTGTTGAGTGTGGGGTACCCACAGCTGAAGGAATACACCTGATTGACTGTCAAGTGCTCTTAACTAAAGCTGATAAATGACAATGTTTTTTTTTTTTACCATTACAGTGACAGTGTGTGTGGAAAATGCTTAATGTGCCAATCCAGTAACATTGGTAAACTGTCAAAAAGGGGACTAGGTGAATGCTACTTTAGGCTGCATTAACGTCATCTTCCCCCTGGAAAAATGTTTTTCTTCATTACCAAATTTCATTTCAGGAAACTGAGGTTTGAGTTTGTGGGTAATTCCAGAAATTAGCGGTCCCAAAGTGTGACATTTTTGTGTCCCTGTTACATCTGACCTTTGTTATTTGACATGGAAATATCACCAGCATTGTTTTCAAACCATTACTATTTGTTTGGCAGGTAATTTGCATTAATTCATCAATCTTGGAAATTAGAAAATGTGTTCTGAACTTACAAAATCCTATATCAGATGTGACAGGGACACCAAAAAAAGGGACCCCTAATTTCTGGGATTACCCTTGTATGAAAATGTTCTTGTGTTTCCTTTGTATTCTCACTATGACTTCTACGTTAGGCTTTGCATTTTGAAATCATTTATATTTGTACCCATTTGTAGTCTGAATGCGGTGCGTGAGATCTGCAGCCGTTGCCCGCTGGCGATGGGTCAGGACTTGCTGCAGGACCTGGTGCAGTACAAGAGTTACCGCAACAAGGCCGTGGTGTCAGCAGCGAGGTCCCTCATATCGCTCTTCAGGGGCATCAACCCGGAGATGCTGCACAAGAAAGACAGGGTGAGTTCAAGAGGTGCCGACAGGGTTTTTGTTCAGTTGTCCCTAATTCTGTAACGGTGGTAAAACTTTGTTGTAAATTGTTGGATTTGTAGAAGTCAACACTAATGGCAGAGTAGACTGTGTTACTATTAAGTGAGCAGGGCTGTTGGTTATCCTGTGCGTTGCTCAGTGCAGTAAAATCCACCGACGAGTTTTGTTGTGTTTTGTTTTAGTCAACAGTATTATCAGTTCAGCTGTTTTGGATTTTGTTGCGTTCTGGAGCGTTCGTATTTCAGTTGTGTTGGGTTTAAATTTTGTTGCATGTAACGTGGCGCCAAGAGAAAACCTAATGTTGTTTAAAGCAGAGAAAAGTCCTGGAGGACTTTGCAGCTGCGTGAAGTTTCATTGATGATGCAAGTAATATCATTAACAGGAAAGCTAAAAAGCAAACTATTAATTTTGCAAGAAGATCTTGCTTGAAAAGCAGGCAATATCAGGAGAAATCTCCTTATATGTAGACCGGTGTCAGCGTGCTTTTTAGACGTGCTTCAAATTAGTAGAGCTAGATTTTATGCTTTTAGTTGGCTTGACTTTTCTTCTGACTCGTTGCAAGTGAGAATGAAATTTTGGCCCCCTGTGCCAAAAATAAAAGATTCTGTAATTTTTTTGTTTCATCTTTCATCACAGGGTAAGCCGACTGCGCACAGCACGGAAATCAGAGCCAAAGAGTACGGTGAGCTAGTGGCTCAGGACTTCATCCCTGGGGCAGAGGTACTGAAAGATGAGACTGCAGAGGGAGGTCAGTCCTAAACCTGAGGCAGTGCCCCTCGCATAGTCAAGTTGTCATCATATTCATAGTTAGATTTTTCTAATTTCAGAATTCCAAAACAAGATACAGAAGTAATAAGATTGAGGACATTGCTAGGAAATCATCATTTTATTTCTCTTGAATTTTCTTCATCCTGAATATCTATAACACATTCTGCACCTGTACTCACTTAAATCTCTCAAATTATATATCAAAGATTTGCAGCGTGTTGATTCGTTCATGATTAAAGAATCCTTAAATTAGGATTAGAGGTCCAGTTTTATTTAAGTCAAGGAGAATGCACAATTTTGCTTCTGCACCATGGCAGATTTTTTGCAAAGAACATGCCATCGGAATCTTAGGTAACAGTGCTTATCTACATTGCAGTTTTCTCGCTGTGCTTGCTTTTAACCAGGGTTTTGTTGATATTGGTATCAAGTCAGTACAGTGCAAAACTGTCATACCTGTAGAGCAGTAATTATAGTCCAATCTGTAGAAAGTCTTTTGTTTTCAAATTTGCAGACAATGAAGAGTCGGATGAGAGCGATTCTGATGACAGTGAGGGCAGCTGGCACGATATCATTCATTCCAGCGATGAGGAAGAAGTAGGAGAAGCCAAGAAAGACAATCCGGCTGAGAACTTAACTGCTGAGGAAAAGAAAGCCCGAGCCGCAGCCATCAGTCAGACCAGACTGCTCACGCAGCAAGACTTCCAGGTAATTACAACATCTGATAGTCTTGTAATGACAGGGGAAGGGAAGGTGAAGGGATAGGTGGAGGGATACATGGGTGCTTATCTTGCTGATCAAAATGGTTCTCAATGTTTGGTTGCTCATTTGAGTGAGCCAGTTGGTTTTTCAATAAGGCTAGGTCATTCCAGAACAGTGCACTTTATGTTACACCAGTTCAAACATGTTCAGTGTTTTTTTTTAATACAGTACTTTTTTTCGCTGGGAAAGAAAAAAGTGGGCAATTTTTTGAGGTTATTTTATGACCTCTCTGAGGGGTTAGGCTAAAATTTGGGGCTTTTTGCATACTTTGGGGAGGAAGTGAAACAGTCGCCCAAAATTATTTTTCTATTTCAAAAATTTCAAAATAGTCACCCCTTTCTTATCAAGGGGGAGGGGGATGACCCCTGTTGGACCCCCCTTCTGGATCTGCCAGTGACTATTTAAGGAGAGGCTGTTAGAGGATCCAGGCATGTTCCAACAAGCCTTGGCACTTTGAGTTTGCCGTAGTGGTCAGAACTGCAATTTTCAATTATTTCAACTCGTTGCTAGGATATCAAAGTGCATCAGCTCTCCAAGCAACTGGAGGCAACCAAAAACAAGAGGGGGACAAAGAGGAAACATGTGGAACTAGAGCAGGAAACCAGGTAATGAATAAGTCCCTTCAAAACATTCATTCTGCCAGGGATTGCGAGATGGAGGCCATGGTTAAACCATTTTGTTTGATCCTTTCCCTGTATTTGCGCACCAAGTGGAACAAAAATGTCTTTCATGGGTGAAATTCAGAGATGAAGAAAAATCCTTACAACTACAGCAGAGTGGTTGTAACAGTGGCAACATTGAAATACTGTGACTTAGGGGCATTTAATGGCTAATGAGGCATGAGTGCTTTCCCATGTGGCTATGACTACTTCAACCTTGCATTTGGGGATTTTTTTGTGCTAAGGGAAAAAAGTAGCCAAATTGGACTGATTTACATTGTCCAAATATCCTTCATTTTGTGATCGAAAATTCCTCAAAAAATAGCTCAGAACAGAGACCTGCTTGCTTTAGGTCAAACAGTCAGGTCTTCAAAAGGCAAATAATCCAATATCATCTGATTTGGAACACATCTTTTTATCCATTTTTTCCTTGATCCACCCAGTGCTGAGCTGCTGTCACTCAGTAGAATTGAGGGAATCAACAGTAGGCCAAGACATGACAAGGAAGCGAGATTAGCTACGGTTATGGTAAGAAATTAAGCTCCCCCTCCCTGAAATAATTCTAGCCCTGTCCACCCGACCAAAACTTGGAGTCCAAAGGGGACCTTCTATCTGCCTCAAGCAGAAGTACCCCCTCATTGGTTTGAGAAGAGCTGTATTGATCTGAAGTGTTCATTTTGTTGGTAGCGACGAGTCTGCAACACTTGCGTTCATAGTCGTTCGTGAACCAGCGATGCTCAGTCACTACCAAAGGAGAATTGCACCCTCTCTTGGTTCAGCTCAAGGCTCATAGCTTGCAAGAAACTGATGGTTTGAAGGTTAAGTCCCAATCCCACACCAGTATTCTGTACCTAGACTGAGTGATACATTGAAAATGGAGTGCTGTCTCGCAGTGGTTTTGTGTTCAAAGGTCACAAGATCTTGTAGGTTCCTTTGGGAATGGGTAAAATTACCCAGTGGACTTGTAGTGCGTTTGTCACTGGGTAGGACGCCTCAAGATCATCTTGTAGTTAAACTTGTGTTTGAAATGGCAGCTCAGAACTGTGTACTCCCATCAACAGTCTTGGAAGACTTTATTGGTTTGATGAGCAGGAGTAACATTGTTGACACTTCAACATGCTCATTATTTAAGCAACAGAAATGAAACGGTAGTTCTCTGCATGTCAGTGCTACTCTCTACTTTTCTATTGTTCCTTTCATGTCCTATATTGGGGGCACAGTTTTCACAGCTGTGTTGTACACACTCAAAGAAACCTTGAAAATGCATGGGATAAGAAGTGCTAATTTAAAGGTCTCTGTGAATATTATTGTAAGGCAAAAAGTGCACTAGTTCAACAAAAAATTTCATGGTGGCCATCAAAAATGCTGCAGACTGGTCAGCATAAATCTCTAAAGATGGTATTGAAAAATGTCAACCGTGGATTGCTGTGCAGGCCGGGCGGGAGGGAAGGAACAAGTACGGGTCCAAGAAGGGGCGGATGAACCCCAATGCCAGCACCACCAACAAGGAGAAGCTGAGGAAGAAGCCCTTCATGATGGTCAAGCAGAAACATGGCTTCAAAACCAAGACTAAACGGTCTTTCCGTGACAAGCAGGTACTTCAGCTGGCCATTCCTATTGACTGGAGAGTTTAGTCTGGTGCATTTACAAGTTATTGCTAGTTGGTCAAACTTAACCGAGGAGCAATTTTGCAGTAATCTGATTATTTATGTAGCCAAGTAGTGGAAGGCCAACCAGGCTTTGCCTAACATATCCTTCACCTTTAAGCAACCTCGCTCGATGAAAAACTAATTTTGATGCAGGTGCTAACTTTAATTTTGAACTCGTTTTTCTTTCTGTCCAGATTGCCCTCAGAAATATTCTCTTGAAGAAACAGAAACGACGTTGAGGTCCACACATTCGCTCAAGCCACGGGGAGGCAAGACCTTGATGTATCCCGTTTATAAAAATCTCAAGTGACTAAGTGCCATAAATCTAATGGGTCACTACACATTGGATTGTACATCTTTAGATATGTTATGAGGCCACTTTGTCGATGGCACATCAGAGAGGCCACAGCCCATAGGCCAGTGCTGCCACTTTCTACACGTAACAGGCCTGTGTACCAATGACGTTACACTCTATTTACACCTGCACTTTCCTACGCAGCCAGTGGGACCTACAGCTCACTGAACACCATAGAAAAAGCACACACGTCAACAAAGTGGGGCATCATCAGTACCTGATAACCTTGACACTTCCTGTCAGGAGAATTCATTGGAAGATTTTATTTTCACTTCGTGTCTCCATTTTGTTTTGTTTATAAAACCCAAGGTTTTCTTACCACATGCAACTATCACATTCCCCACTGCAAAATGATGAAAGTCAAATATTTTACAGTATACGCATTTTAATGCATATATTTATTTCAAAAACAAAGTTTCAATGGTGATTATCAAACAAATATAATAGGATACATTTCAGGCCTTATATTTTCTTTTCCCTAAACTCACAGGTACTTTTGTTGGCTTGATTTTCCGTGAAGCACGCAATGCTAAAAACAGAAAACTGACCCCAACACTGAATGAAATAAATTGTCTTAGAAACACATGAATTGTTTGGGGAAACAATGAAGTGCATACAGGCATTTGAAAATTGTTGGCCAAACTTTGGCTGGCACATTGTGACGTCGTGTTGCACAGTTACCTTCAACAAGGGCGTCTGGAGATCACACTTTACAAAAACCTTGCATGGTTCATATACTTTAACTCCATAAATTACAACATATTGGTTGTATTTTGTGGTACAGGGTTTTATATTGGCCCACATGGCCACCTGTTAATAGGCAGTGTCCAAATGTAACACATGCACCGATGGAAAGCCGCAGTCTAGTACCCGCAGTCACTTATCATACATACCTGTGATACTCCAGCCACAGGTGACTGATTTCGATCGCAGCCTTCAGTGCTCCCAGCAAATGAGGGTTTAATATTTCAATTTCACTTTGGCATTTGAAAGTGAGATTTTTTAATGAAAATTTGAAAATTTGGTTGTCTTTCAACCACATCCTTTCGTTTTAGTCATTTTTGTGCTCTTTCTTTCTCAGGGTGGATTGAAAAAGCCGTTTTTTTAATTTCAATCATAACTATAACTTTTTATTAAAATTTCATTGGCCATGAAATTGAGTCATACCATTTGATAGTCATTGCTTCAAAAAGCAGAGTTACATTGTTTCAAAGAGCATTAATTAGAAAGTAATTTATTTTTCAGTTTTAAAGCGCCTTTCTTTAGTGCCCATTTTGTGCCCTTCGCGTCTGTATGTGCAAGTTGAAACGACAAATGAAATGGGTACCCGAATGCAGAAGGGAGCCCAAAAATACCCTTATTTTGTTATTTATACAAAAATTTAAATAATATCCTTAATAGAAAAGAACAAAATGTAATTAACAGAATCAACATTTGTCTTCAGGTAAAGTTCTCACTGATCATGTAAAATTGGAGAAATTTTAAGGGACCCACTCTCTGAAAATGTGCACAATTTATTCTGTGTCAGTCCGCCATTCTGTATGTAGTCTGACTTCATGTACATATTGCAAGGACCACTTTAAGAAAAGTCTCATGGAACAACTCACAAAAATTACGAGCCTAGATGCAAACACAGCATGTCAATTCTGTCCAGGTTTCACAAGCTCAGGTCTAAAAACATTCATTTTTTGGGAGTAGATTCTGAGAAAGAGAACAGGACATCTGGAGGACACGGAGAAGGCTTGTGGTTTGCGATACTAAAAACTATTAAACCATGATGCTGGTTACACCTCATGCACATGTGCAACTGTTTCACTGACCACCATTCACGGCTTGCGGGAATAAAGATGAACTCATGCACCACAAGTACCCATATCTAGACAATCAAGGCTAGCTGAGGTAGATTAGGACAGACTTATTCTTCCACCACAGGTGTACGAGAATATAATTGATCTGATAGTCACCGGTACACTACTCTCAGACATCTACAATGATGACAGGTGAAAGGTAAAATTTAATGAACTGCACTGTCAATATGTAGGGGGTGTAACCAAATCAGCGCAACAGTATTTTGGAGACAAGACAGCACAACAGTGCTGGGCCCTCCGTGTTGACTGATTTCTAGCTAGTTCTCTTCACTTTGAGCGAGGAGGTTGAATCAGCCAAGACTTTGGCTGTATCCGAAACGGGTTTTCAGAGCTACGGCTATGTCTGTTGTGAGGCTGTCTTCAGGTATTTTCAACCGATGTTGACCTAGACCTAACGCTAGACACAAGATTCTGACAGAGCCCTAGGAAGCGGTTACTCCCCACTTCCTACGTGAACCATGTTGTAGTAATATAATCCAAGGAGATGACATTATGAATGGCACACCAGTGCACACACTCTTATACTGGACAGGTGCATCTTGTATGTCACAACATCCGAGGGCAAGTTAAAACGACAATTACAGTTAACTACAGTTTGACCAATGTCGCCCAAATGAAGGATGGTTTTTTTACCATCTAGTTGACCATTCAGAACCAGGCCCTCGGGCATAGTCGCATCACTGGTTATTAATAGCCAGTTTTGCTTGTCAGTCCAGAGCGAATCATACCCATAAAAATAAAGTTACAAGATATCATTGACCATTAACACTAAGAAAGTTGCAGCTCTACTTCAGTTGAGTGTGACTGTTATGCACGTGCAAGTTGTTAAAAAGCAACTCGTCAGCGATGGAGTTATAGGTTACACCCTAACTTGCCCCTGTTGGTTAACCCTCAAAGAGCCTGGTTATTTTGGCCCATGGGGGGGGCATTCTGCCCCCCACGGAATTCAGCGATTATTTTGAAACTTGGCATACATGTAAAGACGCTCCTTATCATTACAAATGTGAAGTTTGTAATCAATCAAACATGATTTTATTATGATCATTTGAAGTGTTTAAGGCTACGTGTGTGCCAGCCCACATGCATTGAGCACTGCAGTAGAAAAGGTATACAGTTTTGGTTGTCCTGTCTCAGAAATATGTGCGCAGCGCAAGAATGATATGTTCAATTTTCACAAAATTGGTGACAAAATTACCACTAAGAGTTACTCTAAAAGCTCCCAAAGGCCCAGCTCCTGAAAAAAAAAGCACTGTGGCGATATCGGAAAAAATGTTCTGGGGATTCTGCCCCCCCCCCAGCTCTTTTAGGGTTAAAGCAGCCTGTGAGGTATGCATACCATCTGCCCATGAGTGTGACTGAGATTAGAGGAAAATTGGGGGATGTACCCTTGCAGAAATAGTTTCTGTGTCCTGGTCAGCGGGTTGGTCTATGTGTATGCAACCAGTCCTCTACCATGATTCTTAGAACACAGTCAACAGAGCAAAAACGCCGTAGAGAAGAGCACAGGGGTAGGCTACCAGGAGCTGTTGGGAGTCCATAGCAAGCTCCGTCACAAAAAGCTTGGAGGCTGAGAGGCTACACCAACCAATTGTAACCAAGGTTGCTATCGTGCCGACGAGACTCCTGCAAGAAATGAAGCAATGGGTGAATCTGAAGTCACTGAGAACGGCTCAGCTTCCAAAAACCTTAAACTCCTATGGCATTTTGAAAGATCCACATTTTCCAATTAATATTTAGGATTAGCTTATTGTCACAGTACATAAAGTTCACTGAATTGTGCTAAGGTGCACTTTGCATGTCGGGGTAGTTCAAATCATTTACTGTTCTTCCTTGGATATTGAGTGCCTTAGACATGATTATTAGCTGTCTATATTGTGGAAGCATTTGTAAGAGTCCACAGCAATGGCAATGTGTACGACTGTACCCTGCACAACTTTTGACCAGTCGGCTGGTTATGTCAGGACCTTCCGCATGGAGTACATTGGAGGGTACAGAACCTTATCAGCAAGGATTCCAAATGGAGAGAGAAGTGGACGGTGAGATGTTTAGAGATTTGCCATCAAGAGATTGGTTTGACATTCTGTGGAGTGTGCGGTTGCAAGATTCCCTATGCTTTTATTACAGCATTAGATTACTATAAGCTTGTACTTCGAAGGCCTATATTTCTATAATTTGAAGGATGCTGCAAAGTAAGGGTGAAGATCAGCTCTAATGTCGCCCATCACGGGAACTTACTCTAATGGGAAAACGATGGCCAGGCAATTGAGGAGTACCATGGGGAGGAGGCAGTAACCAAGGACACTGACGATGCAACCGACGGCGACACCTGTCAAGCTCATCAAGTTCAGCAGCATCCACATGGTCAGGCATCCCAGCCCACCGATGCCATAAATGTACCCAAATTGGACTTTGCCGGCCTGTGTTAGACACACACATTTCAATTCAACTACCTCAACTGATACTGTTAATTACGTGGGTATTATGATTGGCATTTGGGATGAACTGCAAAATATTGGGATTTATTACTGGGTTATGAACTCACACATCTTTGATATTTCCTGGTTTGTCACTTGATTTTGCCCACATTAATTCCATGAAGTATTCTATAATGTTAAGGATTGTGAAAGTTATTAATCTGTTTGACACTACCACAGACACTGAAATCATTGATGACTTTGAGGCATCTGCAATGTATGCTTAAGCACAGAGGAAAAGTAGGCTAAGTCTTACTCCACTTGCATTCAGCAAGCACCTTTCCTAAATTCTCTTAAATCCAGCACTGTGCAATAATAACAGCACCTTCTTTGTACTTAAATAACTTCAGACATACACCCATGTAAAGTCAAAATACTACCAAACTAAGCGCTGGATGTGGTAGGATTATGGCCACTAGGAATTCTGCTTGTGTTTCTCTCACCAGTAATAGAGTACCACCAAATGCCAGAGCAAACACCAGGGGTCCAGCTAAGTCGCTGTCGTGAATAGCTGCCGGATCTGTGTCCCTCAGTGGGTTCAGTACAGTAAGTGTCTGTTCAAGAAACATTAAATACTTATTTGGATATTTTGAGATCTGGTGATTTGGAACTTCACTGAGGTACTCTAGAAGAAACTGCCCGACCTACTCTCAAGAGGGTATACATACCAATCTGTGAGCACTTACAGCACAGGTTGTGCACAACCATTTTTAATTGAATGTACACAATTAATTTCAAACTGAATGTGCACGACTAATTTTCAACTGAATGTGCACAGCTACTTTTCAACTAAATGTGCACAACTAATTTTCAAATGAATGTGCACAAGAAATTTTCACCTGAATGAGCACAGAGGTGTATTTTCTGTGGCAGAGATACACCCTGTATGAGTAAGTGCAATGCCAAAAATGATGCAGAAGGGTCATTCAATAATTTGTGCATTTTTACCATTGAGAGCTCTGTCCTGCCATATAGTCCATACTATTTGAGCAAACCTTTGATACTGATCAGTCAATCTCACAACTTAAACCCGGATACTTTCACATGGCATTGTTTGTCATGTAAAGAGAAGCACTTGTTAGTACACAATCTGGACATTTGTTGTTTGTAATACAGCAACACCATTCTCATTCTCTACTGTGGTAGCATCTTGAACTTATAGATTTCATATTCTGGCTTTTGGGAAATGTGCAAGAGAATCAAACTGAACTGACATGAGGAAACTGTACTCACCTTTTGGTAGATGTGTTCAAAATTTATTCCAAGTTCTGGAAAGACAGAAAGGAAGAAATTATTTTGATATCTGAATCAGTGTTATAAATTATGTAATCAAAAATACCAATGACAATTGCATTCCCATTGCAAAGTGTTACAGAAAAAATAGATTAGATTAGTTAGAGTTATGGCCAGCAGAAAAACCTACTTAAACAAAATAAGTCCAATTAACCCAAACCCTACATCAAAGAAAAATGATCAAACCACTGTATAGATAAGAAGTTACTTTTTCAGTATTTCATTTTCACAAGCCAGGTTTTCAGGCCAAATTTCAACTTATAATTGCATTTCTTCAACAGCGGAAAAAAGCAAAACCAAGGAATTTGAATATCTCACAAAACAAGATTGACAGCAAAGACTAGAAAAGGTCAGCCACTCGGTAGACTGGTGGCTTGACTTGATGAAGAAGATTCATACAAATTGAGACTTGGTACCTTTTTCATGCCACATTTTCAGCATGTGGTATGTTTTGCAACTCTCAGTACAAAGTTTTAAAAGTCCTGAATTTTTACATTAGCTCTCTAACCAGCCAAATTTCTCGCATTTACCTTCAAGGAGAGGTGGCTCATCATCAAAGCTGTCTGTATATCCACTTGACCCTGCAGGAACTGGTTCAGGGGTCATGATGTCTCCTGTATAGGGTGTCTGGGGACCCATCATACCAGGATGTGCCCCATATCCTTGCTGACTGTAGTCGTACCCATATGATCTGATGGGAGAAACCAAAGTAGAAAATTTACTGCTTAACATTTTTACGAAATGCTTTTAGTGTACCTTAACTGAAAGTAACTTATGACTTGACATATTTGAGAAGCAACATATGGTATCTCATCCACTCTCCTTCGACAGACTTGACTCAGTTGCTTGTAGCAGATGGTCTGAGATGTAAATAAACGCAAATTTTTGTACCTGACAAATTCCAAGGTAAAGTGGAATTCTCAACTTTGGCATACTTTCCCAGGGCTTTTCATCTTTGGTGCTGCCAAGTAAACTTTAGGACTACTAACTTAATGATTGTTTCACTCCTCATTATGAAACAAGAGTAACGCATACCAAAAAACATAGTGATCAGTGAAAGTATATGCTTGGGAATAACAGAAAAATTAAACTGACTCATTTTGTAATTTGGCATTTTTATGAGATCAAACCATAGCACAGTGACATGGGTAGGCTGCAACAAGTGATGAACATCTCCTCACCTATGCCCTGTTTTTCTTTGATTGTGGAGGAATACTAACAAATGTTTTACGGTTCTGTTCCTCCACGGACCAAGCGACTTTGACCACATTTATTTATAGCTATTGAAACTTTTGGACAAAGGAAATTACAATGTCAAAGAATTAAAAATAAAATATGCTATAGTTAGTCTGGGCTGGGTAACTAGGGCTTTGCTCATTGATTTAGCAATAATCTGATAATACTGCAAGGAATCAAAAGGTAATATAAATATGAGATGCAATTTGTAGATTCCTGAATTAGTTATTTGAACTAGAAATACTGTTATATTACTATGAGCATGCTTGGTCATGTTAGTATAGGTCTCATTTTCTTAGGTCCCAGAATTTGGGAAAAAGAAAAAACTTCTTGTAACGTGCTTGACTGTATAGTTGCTAGGTCCCTAATTTTGCCACCTATTGTCTAGACAGGTTGGTTTTCACAATAAGTGGAAAAAATAAGGGACCTACCAACTATTCACGGACATGACTTTGCATGACCTCGGGTCAGTGTGAGGTGAAAACAAATGCATTTTATGTTGCTTTGCATGGCAAAAGTGCTTTCACCTCGGGTTGTTTTCACCACGCTGGCTGGAAGTCATGCACAAGTTGCATCCTCCTATCGGTCATTATACGGTCAAGCCAGCTCAATAGCAGAATACCTCGCTACCCCGCATGATCAATCTCATAGCCAGGTACAGATCAACGTGTCACACTCTTCTCAAAGGATCTTCACCTTGTACCCACGTAACCAGTCATTCCAGGGGTCATTTTTTTTGTGGAGTAGGGCCTATTCTGCAGTTAGGCCTATTCCATCAAGCACATTCTCTGGTTATGCAGCCACAACCAAACCCTCTAATGAGTGTCTGCTCCAGAAAATACCCCCTACAAGTGCAACCCCTCCCCCCAGACTTGTGGGGTCCATCATCCACCACGCTCCATGGGACGACGGACCCCCCCCCCGCCCTTGCTTGGACAGGCGTGAATGCCATGACAGGTCCACGCGTGCCATAGCTAACTTAAACATGTTGACAACAATGACATATGTTGTGTTCCAAACCACTGCACCAAAGGGATAAGTGGAACATGGCAAGATGGTTTTGGGTCTTCCTGGTGCTCACCCCTCCTGTTGCCACTGCTGCTGCTGCTGAGGCGGCTGCCCGCCGCCCATATCGTATCCTTGTTGGTCCTCGTACTGCGTCTGAAAAAATCCCTGCTGGTCAAGACCTTGCCCCGACCCGTAGCCTGCCATTTCTCCTGCAAGGCAATTTTTTGCTTCGAATTTGGCCGACTAATAACACTGCCTTGCAGCTTAATGTTACGTTTGAAATTATTCACGATAACTGCAAGATAGTGTTGGAAAATATCGAGAATTTGTAAACTTTACTTCATCTGCTGGATGGATCTAGGAATCATGTTTTGATCTTTCAGTGAACAACTTGTGGCTGGTATCCTGCGCTTTAATTCAGTTGTAATTCCCATGACTTGGACACCAACACGATGCACGGATTGACACGTTTATATCACCCTCTAACTGCCCCAAAATTTAACTGCACGAAGCGAATGGGCGTGTTCGTGGGATGTTGGGACTAATAGAAAGGTTCTATTTCCTGAGAATTTTCAGTGAATTTGCAACTTGAGCCATCTTTTTACTAAGGGGAAAATTTTTGAAAAGCAAAAGAGATGCTAGTTCTTGATTACTAATAGCAAATGTACATCGCTAATGAGCTACACCTCTCAGTGTTGGAGCAGACCAGTATGCTGCTGGCAGACTCGTATAAAGACTAACACTAACTCAAAGACAGTACGTCGTAATTTTTTAGGTAGCTAGAGATGCTTTAGATTTACCCAGAATGCCAGCATCTTCCGTCATGTCTCTTCTAGTCGGGTCGAAAAGCAGGTAGGACCGAGGAGTTGACTGTGCCTGAAAATCCACGAATTTCGACATGTTTTGAAGATACATCCCTCATTTAGAATTAGCCAGGGTATCAAATAAGGAAGCAAAGATCAGAAAGGAATTATTATTTTAAATATAAACCCGCAAGGTGCTTGAAAAACGTATTTGTTTTCATCGTCATGATCGTTGAACATGCAAGGGAGTTCCTGTACCGATAGTCCTGTATCATCAAGGAATTCCTCCTGATATGGGTTTGAATTAGTAAAGTTGCAGAAGACACGATTAAACCATGGAAGTGAATATGTCACGCGCACAATTAGGCCTAACGCGCGTGACCATAGGCAGGACAACAGGCCTAGTCGCAAGGCATGTACCAAGTCCCTGCTAGTAATTTTGTATTGTCAAATCGCATGTTTGATTGGTTTTCACATGGAGTCACAGTAGGCCCAGGCCCAGTAATACTAATAGTATTACGGTAAAGTGGGTGTTCATTATACCATTAGTACCCTGTTCCTATAAGGAAAACGAAGTCCACTTTTTAAACTAACTGACATTCAGACCTTGAGGATCAGAGGATCCATCCCTTAATCCTAGTCAGTAC